ATAAAAATAGACATCTCCTCTATATATGTTTTTTTCTACTCTTTTGTCCAGTGTTTGATGCAACATTGCCACATGAAGTAGCCCATTTTTTCTAAGTTTGCCTACTTTGGTTTTAGGTGTTACCTATGTAGCTGCAACATTTATCCATTATGGATATATTTTGTCAAATCAAGAACATGAATTTGGCCTACATGTAAATGTAATAATAAAAAAAGGTCATCAAACACAGTAGAAGTGCTGATTTGACACAGGTCTATATAAGCAGGATATTCATGCACCACCACCTTTTCCACAACCATGGCATACCCGTTAACTGATGAGAAACCTGTTAAATGCATCAAAAAACAAAGACGTCAAGACTATTTTACCCATCAAAACATTACAAATTAAATAGACAATCTTTGCAGTTATGGGTTATTCCTGATGAGGAACACGAATAGGCTACACACTTAGCCTATGCGTGTGTACAGATAGGCTAAGTGATTTATATAAAAAAAAGAAAACAGTAACTTACGCATTTTAGTGGTCAGCAATGCTTTGCCAGGCAGCGTCTCTGGCTTTGTTAACTGCAACTGTGTTCCCCTTTTTTGTGAAAGCTACTCTGTAATCCTCATATAACTCCATGAGGAGTTTTTGCTCGGCTGAGGAAAAGGATTTGTCTCTTAATTTTGTCATGATTTTGTCATTTCAACAATCGACACATCAGGGCTTTTTGTGAACCGCAGACGCGCACTCAGCCACAGCTTGGATCAGCCCAGCTAGAATTAGCGTCTCTGAAAGACAGCTGAGCCTCATTAGCGGAGCTAGTTGCAGTTCAAATTAAAGTGGCCGCTTATTCAAGCCATGCTTACCAGCGATAGCCCAGCCTTCTTCAGCCAGCTTTATGGAATACCCCCCAGGAGAGCCCAGCGCGTCAGTTGCTGGTTGTGATTGATCATCTGCTGCAGGAACACAAGAGGGTTATGATCTGTGTATACTGTGACAGGAGAAGAGCATACAACTCATACACCTCAAAATGCTACAAGGCTAACAGCACAGCCAGAGTCACCTTCTCAATTGTGAAATAGTTCAACTGATGTTTCTTGAACTTCACACTATAGCACACTGGGTGGCACACATCTTCCTCACCATCCTGCAGGAGCGCAGCACCTGCTCTATTTGCACTGGCATCAACCTCAAGCTTGAAAGGCAGTGAGAAGTTTGGTGTAGCCAGTACAGGGGCACTACAGGAAACACTTAGCAGCGCTAAATGAATAGCCACATTCCTCTGTCCACACAAAAGGAACCACCGAACTACACAACCTTGTCAAGAGAGCAATCATAACAGAAAAGTTCTTACAGAAGCACCAGTAATAGCCCACCATCCCCAGGAAACTCAGGAGCTCATGCCTTGAAGTGGGGACCGGGAACGACAGCACAGCTTCCACCATTGCATCTACTGGACAGACCTGCCCATGTCGAACCTGCTTTCCCAAGTAGGAAACACTAGCCTTACCAAACTCGCACTTTGCAAGGTTGAACGTGAAGGATGCATTTGCAAGTTGCAAATGCATAATATAGCCTGAATCGTTCACTTTGTTATACAAGCATGAAGCATCAAACCCCACTCTTTTCAAAAATAACGTTAGCCATGCAAAATTCTAAGATGGCGGCCCCAAAATCCAAGATGTCCGCCCCAAAAATGTGGTTTTTCCTTTATAACTCAAAATGACTTGATTTTAAGCCCCATACATATATTGAAGTTGAATATAAAGTTGTGTATTGCAGACATTTTGGTACCTAGTACATCTCTGTATCCATTACGGTTCTTGAGATACAGCATATAGATACTTGTACAGAATTGGAAGAGAAATTTGTAACACCGATTGTTGTTACGTGCATATGGTTATATGAAAATATCATTTCCATTATCTATTATTTTCATGAGCCTATTAACATTAAATTTGAAAAACAAGATGGTGTCCAAGATGGCTGCCATTGCCTTGAAGTAATCCGATCTTAGTGACTATGAAACATTTACTTTTGGCATGCACATATTTTTGGTCTATGCATCCAATGGGGCCATTGCAGTACAGAATTTATACGTTTATACAGTACAAGCTTGCAGATGTAATAGAGTGAATATCGGCACACAACCAGGGCACACTGGTGATATCACTGCTGTGTAACTCAGCATGACCTTCAGGAGTTCTTTCAGCATGAGAACCAGTCCTTCCCTGTTGCATTGAGCAAGGGTGGAAAATTGTACACTTGCCAGAAGTCTCAGCTGACCCCTATCATTGAGAATTATGTCCCACCAGTTGACAAGGAACCTGAGGCAGACGTTCTCATTGTAGATGGGTCAGCTTTGGACCACGCCCTGGATGACGCCCTGGATAACTGGATGCTCTACCCGCTGAGCTACCCACTCGCTATACACACACACACACACACACACACACACACATATATATATATATATATATATATATATATATATATATATATCAGTGGCGATTGCTCTAAGACTGCAAGGGAAGCTCAGCTTCCCTTAAAATGTCAACCCCCCAAAAAAAGAAAAAGTGGTGAAATATGTACTGCTGTGTGTACATTTCATTAACTAAATACGCGCTAGAAAGCCTTCATCTTTTGTTCAGAATCAGCTTCTTATCACAGTGTGATAAGAAGCTGATTCTGCACAACTTCGTTCTCATTCATCCTCGCAGCGCCTCAACTCTTTAAACAGCGGGACGCCCAGCTTCTGCTGACTTCAATGTGGAAGCTCAAAGTGGGTTGTTCCAGCAGCGAAACTAGACGCTCATTGGATAAATGCTGGGCTTTGTCCCGCCCATCGGACGCTCGGCGTCTCTGGAGTTCTATGGCGAGAGGGCGGTCCCGACTTTCTCCTGGACTCCGAGCTTCTGCATCCATGATTGGATGAGCTGTCTGAGGCGAAATCCTTTTTTGATTGACAGCTAAACAAGCAAATCAGCAATCTTGAAGAATAAAACATCGACCAGAGCATTTTCCAAGTTATTCATTCCGTTGTTCTTAACTGCTCCGGAGACTTTACCGATCCTCAGCAACTTTTGTCTTTGTTAAAAACGACTGCCGTTGTGGTTGGCGACTCTGTTCTGTTACATACAAATAAACAAACACAATTATGATGTAGGCCATAAAAATGAGCTTCCCCTCCTTGAAAGACCAGCAGCTGCCACTGATATATGGGTCAATGACGTGACGCCTCAATATTCTGTCCGGCTGTATTTTCTTTATGTTACAAAGAGTTTTAAATGTAAAAAAATATACTATCTATTTGTAGTATCTCTCTAATATATGGAGCCACTTCAACTTTTCAAAAATCAGGAGTTTTTTGTAATTTTTTTTTTACTTCAAAGGGTCAAAATATCATGTGGTGCGACCGTCCGGCCATGACTTCTGTTTTGAAAACTTCTTTGAAATTACTCTAAATCTATTACAATTTAGTTTCTGCAATATTCGGCATAATTTTGAAAGTGTTTTTTATTCCTGTACAAAATTGCAAAGCTTTTGCAGTTATAATTTTTTCATAATATTCAAACGAATTTTGTCCGATCGTGTCCATTTCATTAAATATCATGTGGTGCGACCATCAAAAAATGACCATTTTTGACACTTCAATGCTGAAATCTACTCAAGGACAGGATGTTGGATCATTCACCATTTTGTCGTAGAGCTATGGAAGCAGAAAGAGGGTTGGTGGTTCTCTCATTTCTTTAAAAAAAAGAGACCTTTTCAACTGCTGTAATGGTGTCTGCACTTTTCGATGTCATGTGGTATGACCTCAAAAAAAACAATTAATTTAAGTTATTTCCACAAATAAGTATTTTAATTATAAATTTCAGAGTGACCTTTTGTGGGAAGCTAGTGAGGTTTGTTTATGTGACTAATCCTGTATCAGTAAGATTTGACTAAATTTGAAATGTCATGCGGTGCGACCAATTATCATGTGGTGCGACCACTGCAGATTGTTTTTTATCATAAATATATGCCCTCGATTGGCAGTATTTACGCTTTTTATATTCAATTGATGATTGATAAACACTGAGTACTTAATTTTTAGTATTATTTTGAATTTTTTTTGTTATTTGATGAGTCATTTTGCTAACATTTCTGAAATAATGGTTAGGTCATCTCTGTACAAAATAAGAAAAAAAATATTAAAAGCATGCCATTTCACTTAAGGTATTTATGCCATTGTTAGCAATTTATTAACTTTCATGTATCAATTTAAGTCATTTTAATTTATTTTACCAGATGCCACTGGCGAGCAAAGTTAAAAGCGCTCGCCATAGGCAGCGCGTCAACTCTGACCCTGCAGCATGTTGTTCATGCCAGGGCTGGTCAAAGATTGGGCCAAGATTGTTGACATCGCTGCATGGATGGTGAGAGGAGCGCTTTGCCGAGAGCGTTATATTCATGATCGTTTAAATCCGTTTGATTTACCTGATGACGTTCTCTATGAACGTTACAGGTTTTCCTCAGACGGCCTCAATATTCAGGTAGCATGAAGTCGAAGCAATACACTAATATTTGCCAAGCTCCAAGTTCAAGTTTCATGCGGCATATCAGTCATCATTCAGAATTTATTGAAGCAGATTAGAAAACTCCTCTTAACACCAAATGTGTCTGCAGATGACATGTGACCATCAGATTATGGAGAAAAAAGAAAAAAAAGCAGTGTGAGGAAATCACTGTTTACGCGTTGAAATATGTACAAATAAAATCTTCCAGTAAACCAGCTAACCACTTTGACGGATGTTTTTAGATTTATTTTTATTTGCTCCCACCTACTCTTTTCCCTACTGCTGTTGTATCTGAAATAATGAGGTCAATGATGGAGGTTATCACACACGCTGCATGACAACATATTAGGGGGCCATAAATTTATCAACGCACAAATTAAATTTACACGATCGATGATTTTTTTTGCCAGCAGTCCCTCCGGCTTTTAGTGACTTTGGCAGTCCTGCTCCTCAATGTTATAATGTTGCAGTACTCCTCGTATTAGCGTAAAACGATGCTCTGTTCCTCGGCTGTGAAATATGACATGCAGCCTTCTTCATTGTGGAGATTGGTCCGGTGGCACTGACCCCGCCCCCTTTACGTGTGCGCGCACAGATCTAGACTGGCCACAACTGAATTTAGTAAGCTAGTTGATATCCTGCCTCGTAGTACAGCTGATCAGGATTACGGAGATCTGGTGAAGTTGAGTGAGTTGAGGCAGAGTTATCCTGGGTGTGTTAATCCAGCTTCATAGTGCAGGCCTCTGGACCACATACACAAACACACACAGAGTTAAATTTTTGTAAAAAAAGGGAAATAAAATGTTCGCGTTCATGTTTGAAATTTTAATAAAATTTGGTTTTAATATAAAATTTGCATGAAATTAATTGTTCATAGGTCTCTTTAAATTGATTTTTAATGATACAAGGTCTTCAGGTCATTTGGCGCGACCACCAATCATGTGGTGCGACCAATAATAACATTAGTTATATCAAATACAAACTAAAATATCTCATTTCTGTAACCGAGACATTAATACCTGATACAATATGCTTACATGAAAGGTAGTTTCAAAACATTTTTATCAGTATTATGTAATTTAAAGAAAAAAATAGTCAGTGAACTACATTTGATATAGCGTCTGTGACATTATAGAGCTAATATATGAGATAATTATTTACAAAATCTCAAATAAAATGCAAACGCTTTGTTCCTATGTACTTGATGTTACCGACAATTTGTAAAAAACTATGAAGTATGTTGAAAAAATGTAATAATTTTGAGATAAATGATGGTCGCACCACATGACATTTTTTAAAGCCACAGGCAATTCATCTATATGAAAAAACACTAAAATTGCCTAATTTAAAAATTAAACTTTAATTTTTGTATACATAACATCCTTAGTATTTGAGCTGTTGCAAAAGATATTCTTATTTTTGCTATTTTAAAATTGGCGTGTTGAAAAACCTTATACGTCATTGACCCATATATATATATATATATATATATATATATATATATGTCAGGTGTGGATATAGGACCCAAGTGCAGCACAACGCCAGGTAGTTGTTAGAAACTACTTTTATTGCAACAGTTCGCAGAGGACAGATATTTTGACAGGTAACAGGAAAGAATACACTGGGATCGATTTAGCAGTCTCTGTAGAATCTCCAAGATCAACAGGAAACAGATCCACAGGAAACAGGTCCAACAGGCAGGCAGGTGAGTGCTCACAGGAAAATACACTACACCTGAGAGTCTTTGAGAAGTGCAGCGGCACTGTCGAGGGGCAGGCTGGGCTCGTGGTCGATGTGGAGGCAATGTCGAATCCTGGCACACAATCAGCGGGGCAGAACAATTCCAGAGGGAGCAGACGGAGGGATAGTCGTGGACAGGCAGTAGGTCGGGAAGCCAACAACACACAAATTAAAGTAATCATTTCTGTTTTATTTAAAAATATACAGTACATACAAAGCATTTTCCATGGAGACAAATATGGAGGATACAAGTGCACACTGCACATTAATGTCCACAGTAAGATCCGACTGTTATATGAGCAGGAGTTTGGCCACCAGTTTTACAATCCATCATGGTCTAAAACTCACTGAAACACTGACTATCTATGCAATATCTGCTCATGTGCTCTGATAGACTACTGTACAAAAATAAAGGCCTGTCTTGAATACATTTTAAGGTTTTTTTATGTACACCCTTAGATGGTGCATTCACAAAGTAAAATATAGGGCCTATAACTGTAGCTGGAAAGACTCAAAACAATCAAAATGCTTTACTGTCACCTCTAGACCTCCCTCGTTCTGTGTCAAAAACATGAAACATGAACGAGAAACTCTCTCCTGTTTTCTGTCAGGTTTGAGTGAAAAGATTATTTCTCTCTATCTCTCTCTCTCTCTATCTCTTTCCCGCTCTCTCTGTGAAAGATACTCTTGGTTTCCTCAGTCATCTTTATTATCTGTGCCCACTGAGAATAATTCACAACATAAAACAAACCCTCCAGTGTCAAGACAAAACAGCAGGACTGATAATATAGTCAGTTTTAATAATACATGAATTCGTTTTATTTTGGTGAATTGACAGTCACCAAAATAAAATCAAGAAAAACCAGATGACCAGAAATGGACTTCATCTTTTTTCCTATCTACAGCCAAATGAAGCTGGAACTGTTTTTAAAATATTTTTAGTCATGGCAGTGCCATACATGAATGATCTTTGTTTAAAGAAAGCAAACCCCAGGGGTAATGTGTAAATTAATATCGAGCCAACTGATGTAATGAAATATTTAGCAAATCTTTTGATCTGAAAATCTCTCATGGACTTTAAATAGGAGGTAGATGTCGCCCCATGATGTCAAAGTGCCTTTGACCTGAGCATCATTTCAAATAACCAGCTGTGGTTGCAAAAAGAAATGATGAATATATTTATGAAAGAAGATGAGAAAATGTCCTTCCTTTTTAATTTAACTAGATCATTGTTATTATTTTATTTATTTATTTTCTTATTTTTTTCTCATGACCCAAATACTGGTTTCAGAATTTATCCACAACAAAATGATGCAGTAAATCTCAATTCCATTTACAGTTTTCAGATGGAAAATTTATGTTTTAAAGGAATAAGTTTAAATTTCATGTAGATGGGGGTCATAATTTATGAGTAAAGACATAAATTTAGGAGAATCTAGTTATAAAATTAGGAAAACAAAGTTGTATATGTGGGTCAATGACGTATAAGGTTTTTCAACACGCCAATTTTAAAATAGCAAAAATAAGAATATCTTTTGCAACAGCTCAAATACTAAGGATGTTATGTATACAAAAATTAAAGTTTAATTTTTAAATTAGGCAATTTTAGTGTTTTTTCATATAGATGAATTGCCTGTGGCTTTAAAAAATGTCATGTGGTGCGACCATCATTTATCTCAAAATTATTACATTTTTTCAACATACTTCATAGTTTTTTACAAATTGTCGGTAACATCAAGTACATAGGAACAAAGCGTTTGCATTTTATTTGAGATTTTGTAAATAATTATCTCATATATTAGCTCTATAATGTCACAGACGCTATATCAAATGTAGTTCACTGACTATTTTTTTCTTTAAATTACATAATACTGATAAAAATGTTTTGAAACTACCTTTCATGTAAGCATATTGTATCAGGTATTAATGTCTCGGTTACAGAAATGAGATATTTTAGTTTGTATTTGATATAACTAATGTTATTATTGGTCGCACCACATGATTGGTGGTCGCGCCAAATGACCTGAAGACCTTGTATCATTAAAAATCAATTTAAAGAGACCTATGAACAATTAATTTCATGCAAATTTTATATTAAAACCAAATTTTATTAAAATTTCAAACATGAACGCGAACATTTTATTTCCCTTTTTTTACAAAAATTTAACTCTGTGTGTGTTTGTGTATGTGGTCCAGAGGCCTGCACTATGAAGCTGGATTAACACACCCAGGATAACTCTGCCACAACTCACTCAACTTCACCAGATCTCTGTAATCCTGATCAGCTGTACTACGAGGCAGGATATCAACTAGCTTACTAAATTCAGTTGTGGCCAGTCTAGATCTGTGCGCGCACACGTAAAGGGGGCGGGGTCAGTGCCACCGGACCAATCTCCACAATGAAGAAGGCTGCATGTCATATTTCACAGCCGAGGAACAGAGCATCGTTTTACGCTAATACGAGGAGTACTGCAACATTATAACATTGAGGAGCAGGACAGCCAAAGTCGCTAAAAGCCGGAGGGACTGCTGGCAAAAAAAATCATCGATCGTGTAAATTTAATTTGTGCGTTGATAAATTTATGGCCCCCTAATATGTTGTCATGCAGCGTGTGTGATAACCTCCATCATTGACCTCATTATTTCAGATACAACAGCAGTAGGGAAAAGAGTAGGTGGGAGCAAATAAAAATAAATCTAAAAACATCCGTCAAAGTGGTTAGCTGGTTTACTGGAAGATTTTATTTGTACATATTTCAACGCGTAAACAGTGATTTCCTCACACTGCTTTTTTTTCTTTTTTCTCCATAATCTGATGGTCACATGTCATCTGCAGACACATTTGGTGTTAAGAGGAGTTTTCTAATCTGCTTCAATAAATTCTGAATGATGACTGATATGCCGCATGAAACTTGAACTTGGAGCTTGGCAAATATTAGTGTATTGCTTCGACTTCATGCTACCTGAATATTGAGGCCGTCTGAGGAAAACCTGTAACGTTCATAGAGAACGTCATCAGGTAAATCAAACGGATTTAAACGATCATGAATATAACGCTCTCGGCAAAGCGCTCCTCTCACCATCCATGCAGCGATGTCAACAATCTTGGCCCAATCTTTGACCAGCCCTGGCATGAACAACATGCTGCAGGGTCAGAGTTGACGCGCTGCCTATGGCGAGCGCTTTTAACTTTGCTCGCCAGTGGCATCTGGTAAAATAAATTAAAATGACTTAAATTGATACATGAAAGTTAATAAATTGCTAACAATGGCATAAATACCTTAAGTGAAATGGCATGCTTTTAATATTTTTTTTCTTATTTTGTACAGAGATGACCTAACCATTATTTCAGAAATGTTAGCAAAATGACTCATCAAATAACAAAAAAAATTCAAAATAATACTAAAAATTAAGTACTCAGTGTTTATCAATCATCAATTGAATATAAAAAGCGTAAATACTGCCAATCGAGGGCATATATTTATGATAAAAAACAATCTGCAGTGGTCGCACCACATGATAATTGGTCGCACCGCATGACATTTCAAATTTAGTCAAATCTTACTGATACAGGATTAGTCACATAAACAAACCTCACTAGCTTCCCACAAAAGGTCACTCTGAAATTTATAATTAAAATACTTATTTGTGGAAATAACTTAAATTAATTGTTTTTTTTGAGGTCATACCACATGACATCGAAAAGTGCAGACACCATTACAGCAGTTGAAAAGGTCTCTTTTTTTTTAAAGAAATGAGAGAACCACCAACCCTCTTTCTGCTTCCATAGCTCTACGACAAAATGGTGAATGATCCAACATCCTGTCCTTGAGTAGATTTCAGCATTGAAGTGTCAAAAATGGTCATTTTTTGATGGTCGCACCACATGATATTTAATGAAATGGACACGATCGGACAAAATTCGTTTGAATATTATGAAAAAATTATAACTGCAAAAGCTTTGCAATTTTGTACAGGAATAAAAAACACTTTCAAAATTATGCCGAATATTGCAGAAACTAAATTGTAATAGATTTAGAGTAATTTCAAAGAAGTTTTCAAAACAGAAGTCATGGCCGGACGGTCGCACCACATGATATTTTGACCCTTTGAAGTAAAAAAAAATTACAAAAAACTCCTGATTTTTGAAAAGTTGAAGTGGCTCCATATATTAGAGAGATACTACAAATAGATAGTATATTTTTTTACATTTAAAACTCTTTGTAACATAAAGAAAATACAGCCGGACAGAATATTGAGGCGTCACGTCATTGACCCATGTACATAAACGTATAGGAGGCAAAATGAACATTTCCAAGAATAGAGTTTTAAATGATTTGAGAAAAATGTCAGAATTGTAGGCTTTGGTTATAAGCTCGAGCTTCATAGTATAAGGTTCATAATAGCAAAGGTTATAGTCAGCCAAAAGGTTTTATAAATAGCTAAATACAGAACCTTTAAGCACACTGGCACCACATAATCAAACCAGGATTTTATAGACCCCCTTAAACAGACATAAAGGAAAAAACATATTGAGGTTTATTCCTTGAAACTTTTGCTAGATCTTCAACAAACATTTCATTCACTGTTCCTCCTTTTGATCACAGTGACTTGGTATACCTGTGCAGTGATCGATTGAATTTAATTTGGGTTGGGCCTTAAACATAAATATATGTTCCACAGTTCCACAATATACCGAACTGGACATTTTCATAAATTCACTTAAGTACAATTGGGAAAAATAGTCTTAGGGGTCCAGGCTCATCAGCTGGTTATTGCGCAGACAAAACCGACATGTCTTTTAGGTTATGTTAAAGTAGATTGTGAGCTATTACCAGATCTTCACCAGAACAAACTGCACTGTAAGTTTCACAGCTTGTGGATGTTTTCAGACTTGACTGTTAATTCAAATGTTTACTCTGGTGTTCGTTTGTGCTGTTGCCATGCTAGCGCTGCCATGGCAACAAATTACATCAAGTATATCAGTGACCGCAGGAGTTTACTCTATAAAAGCTGTGTTTAGATCAACATAAAGTGTCAGTATATTCATTATTTTAGTCAGGGGGTGGGTAAAAGTAATATAGCAGGAATAATATTCATTTTAACTAATTAAAACTTCACATGAATCAACTGTAGCCTGTAATTACAACTTCTAATAAAATTACTACCCAGTTTTTATGAGATTGTTTTTAATTTCTTCTAAAACCCTTTTTTGTACCTTCACAATCTAATTGTTATAAACTCAGACTGTACTCTTAAAAAATTAGGACTTAATTCTCACAACATTATGACTTGATGACTTCATGACCCTAACCCATGGAAGCTTGTCACTGGTTACCTTGACTGTGACAAGTTGTAGCTGGGTTGCCCTGTAAAAGTACTGATTTGAATAGTGGCAGTACAAACAGACCTCCCAGTTGAATCAAACATTGGGGACTGTTCATTTTTCGGTACATTCAGCTTGTTTACAGGCTGCTTTTTTATAGTCCAGATGCATTTGATGAGTGGAAAGTATCTGGTAATGTGTTTTTAGAAAACTACAACCTTGGAAAGAAAAAAGTTTACTCATGGAAAGGAATCCAGACCTGATCTTTCAGTCATGGAACCGGATATTTTACTTTCTTTTTTACATGACTATGACTTATTTTCAGTCTTTGGGAGAAATACACTTGCTAAGATTTGACTTTTTGTAGGATGCTGCCTAAAATAAAGAAATAAAACCATCTCTTCTCAACAGCTCAATTTGTTGTAGTCTCCTCTGGCTTCAATAAACCAGGATTTGGATAGCTTAAATGCAAAAGACTTCGTAATACTGGCTACGCCGACTCTTTTTTATCTACAGTCTATGAAATGTGTATTTACCTCATCCAACCATTATATAAATTGCAGGTTGCTGACATGTTGTATTAAAACACTGTGAGAGTATGTATGACTATATGAAGTTTACTGATTCTTATTAGAATTTTTTTTTTGGCAGCATCAATCAAAAGGAAAAAAAGAAGTAAATCATAAAAATAAAGAATACATATATATACACTACAGGCCAAAAGTTTGGAAGCAAGATCAGATTTGTACAAAAAAGATCATAGTTTCATATATATAATTTGCAACACAATAAACATGACTATTGTGTAAAGAGTAACTTATCAGAAGACATTTTGACTATAATTATTAGGTATTTGAGTTATTGTTACTTAGACTTTGCTTTCTTTAAAGTAACCTCCTCTGGCTTTAACAACAGCTTGGCATATACGAGGCACTCGTTCCACAATTTTTTAAGATATGTTCCAGGGATTGCATTCCAAGCTTTCTTAAGTTCATTAAAAAGAGACTACTGATTCGTGGGACACGTTTTTTGGACCGATCGATCCACTTCATCCTGCACAAGCTCAATTGGAGAAAGGTCTGGAGACTGAGGGGGCCAAACCATCTTTTGAAGAACACCTTCCTTTTCTTTTTTGTCTAGGTAACCCTGACAGAGCTTGGCAGAGTGCTTAGGGTCATTGTCTTGCTGCAAAACAAACTTCAGATGTTCTACAGAGTCCAGATGGAACAGCATGGTGCTGGAGGATGGAATGGTACTGTCCCTTCTCCATGATACTCTTTACTTCAAACAAATCTCCTACTCCATCACCTGCAAAACATCCCCATACCATGGAACTACCACCTCCATGCTGAATTGTGGGTGTAACACGTGGTGCTTTCAGACGTTCACCAGTTTGTCTGCGGACATAGGCTCTGCGTTTTGAACCAAACAGTTCAAACTTGTTTCTAGTCATCATAAGTCCAAATTTTGTGAGCTTTTGCCCACTCACATCTCTTTTTCTTGTTCTGTGGACGAAGTAGTGTTTTTTGCAGATACACAACCCTTCAGACCAGCCTTTCTCAAACGTCATTTCACGGTTGTCAGAGATATGGGTTTCGACCTTGTCATGCTGATTTTCTCCCTTATTTGTCGTGCTGTCTTTCGCCGATCTCTCTTACTGGTGACAATGCTATGTTTATCCTCTGCTTTTGTAGTAACTCTCTTTCGTCCAGGTCTTTTTCTATCATCAAAACTTCCAGGTTCCTCTAGTCTCTTCAGAGTGTAGTGGACTCCCTTGTTAAACACCTTTAGGCATTTTGTAATTTCTCTTTCTGTGTATCCTTCTTTCCTCAATGTACAAATCTGTACTTTTGTTTCTTTACTCAGTTGCTTCTTTCTAGCCATGTTTGTGGTTGTTTGAACGCAGTTGAGATTTATTAGGATTTTTGTATGCAGACTCTCAAAAGCCAAAAAGTTGAAGTGAATAATCCAACTGTGATTTTTTTTTTTTTTTTTGCTTTTGCACTGAAGTTGTGACTCTTGCAAATGTTTGCAACCCTAAAACTAAGCCCTTATTACCTTTTGCTGACATATATTTAGCAATGGTCTGTTAACATCAATGTATATCTAAAGGTAAATGGAGTAAAATGGTGCATTTCCATGAAAGCAACATCTGATCATGGAGTAAATACATCCCAAAATACATAAAACCCATGCTGGATTTTAAAAAAGGCATTGTGAACAAAAACTTAAAGTTACTCCCAACTGTTCAGCCTGTAATGGCCTTGCTTCAAAACTTTTGGCCTGTAGTGTGTGTGTGTATATATATATATATATATATATATATATATATATATTTATAAAGCATCTTATGCCCCTGGTAGACCATGTCACATTATCTGAAATATCCACTACTGACCTGTCCAAGCAAACAAACTACAGCTCTAATGTTAAAATAATAAAGCAACAAATTGTATATCTTTGGTTCGGTATCCAGTAATGCAAGCAAACATATGAACTTGATCATATGTCTCATACAGGCTGCCATATGAAAAAAAAGAAGACTTAACCAAAAATAAATATAACTACAACTTAAATTTTGCAGAAATGAAAAGCAGTCAAGAGTGAAATTTTACTAACCTGTGTTTAAAGAACTGAGTTTAAGAGTATTTTATAAGCCAAACCACTGAGAGAAGTATGCTTAGAAAAGGATTAGGATACTTGATCATATGTATACTGACGTCTTATCTCTTTCGGCACAAGACAGCTGCAGAAAAACACTCATTAATGGGTCTCAGTTTAACTTAACCCCTCTTAACCACTATCCTCATCCACTCCCCTCAAATAATGTGCTTTAACTTTAACTCTCACAGAAGTTTCGAAATATGATGGATGAAGAAAAGCAGACTTTATTCATTTGTATATAAACCTTAAACAGATCAAAAGCCTCCAAATGATCATCCATTTTGAATATAAATGACATGAAAAATGTACTTAAAAGATAGGCAATAAAATTTTTTAGAAATGCTTTGATAAAGTAGAAAAAAGGGCAAATGTATGAAAATTATATCCATACATAGTTTACAATGTTTACAGTGCATACAGAATATAAAAGACTGGAGTATATTTGAAGCAGGTAGACAGTCAGTGTCTGTGATTTTGCCATAAAAGCTTCATTAGAGTGATTTTATTATTTCCTGTTATTTTTGCTAAATAGTAGTCGAAGCGTTCCCTTCAAAATAAAATTAGCAGACCCTCCCTAATGGCCTAAAGGGACGGTATCTTCTGTTTTTCCATTAGACCAGAGATCCCGCCTGGTTCTGTGCAGGCACCATGATGGGTACCCCCCCCATGCGAGTGATGTTGGAGGCAGTGACAGTGGAGGTGGGCAGTGGTGAGGGGATGTATGTGGTCGGGGTCTGTATCTGAGGTTGGCTGTAGGTCATGGGCAGTGCCTGAGCCTGAGGCAGCTGGGTGTAGCGCTCTGGTCTGGACAGGGAGCTCCCATTAGTGCTGGGCTCAGAGGAGATGGGCTGGTCACGGGGCAGGGTTGTGTTGTTGTTGTTGAAGCTAAAGTGAGTGGGGGTGGAGGCTCCATGGTGGCGGGAAGGTCTGTAGCCAGCCGTGCTGCCTGTGGCAGTGATGATGGAGGCGGTTTCTGAAGGGGGACGCTGCGGGTACTGCTGCAGGTGGTGGTTGTTGTGGTGATGTGGGGGCTCTTTGTGGTGGGGGCTGGAGGCGATGGAGGACAGGGTGCCGTTTTTGGAGATTATGTCTGAACCCATGCCACTCTTCGCCCAGGACACTCGCTTTGGCGCCTGAGCGTCCTCCCTGCAGGGGGGACGGGAGACACCAATACCTTACTGTCCACAGCAGCACAAAAAGAAAAACTACAACCATCCCATGCATAAGAAATACATTAGCATTTGATTAGCTATTGGTTGAGCCCTATGAAATCTGTTCAAGTTTTCACAGAGTATGTTTGATTTATTTTGATGTATACCTTTTTCCATTTTTAATTTTTCTAAATTCCTTTTTTTACAGGCTACAACTTAGACTACCATATAGACTACCTGGTCACAAGTTTTGGGAGTGTGAAGTTGTAGATACCAAAAACTGTGGTAGTGAGGACTGCTATGTCTTTAACATATTCTACTTTGTAGGAGAAGATACTTTACTTGACAACAAAAATACTGATAATATCTTTTTGTTAAAACACTATTTTTTATGATCTGATTTATGGGAAGGTTAAACAATAACAGAGTTCACTTCAATGTTCCTCCATGAAAGAAGAGGGAATTTCTGGTGGCAAAGCAAATTGCTGAAAAAGTGCATACACTTAAAGCAAGATTAATAATTTCTTAAATTATGTGGCAGACTGTGCCCTTTTTGCAGCAAGCTGTAGCCTAGCTTGTATGCTGGTTGTCTCTGCAGTTTCTGATTAAAGAGGGCAAGCTGATCTGCAGCCATTGTTACTAATATACTTTTTTGTGAGATGAATCTCAAAAGTTAGAATACAATCAGATTAAGTCTTTGTTGACCGGGTATACAGGCGGTGAATGAGGCTGCTCGAGATCGGGGGCAGCATGAACTCACTTGATTTCATTGGCCATGTCATCCTCGCTGTCTCTCCGCCTCTTCATCAGGAAAAAGAAGCAGATGACGATGAGGAAGAGGGCGCCAAGCACTGAGCCCACAACAGCTCCGACTATCATCCCCACGTTATTGGCTGCAGAAGAAAAAACACGAGAGAAGCAATGATAATATTTCAGCGAAAGGTGTGTCTAACCAGCATGCAATCCTTTTTGTGTTCAATGAGTATATGAGACAGAAAATCTCATGATTTCTCTGCATTTGATGCTTTTTGGTATTGCTGTGTGCTTCATACAGCTGATGATGTCCAGGTTGATGAAGCAGCTCTCAAACCCGACTGTGTTGCTGGCTGTGCACACATATTTCCCTGACATGTTGCTACTCAGGTTATTCAGCCTCAGAGTTCCTGCCTTCTCATCTGAAACGAGATCAAACATGAAGAAGAGTGGTCAAATATCATCGATACACATAGGATTGCAGACTCATCAGGTAGTAAAGTTAGAGCATCACAAATAAATCTCTTTTTTTTTTCAAATATTTCCTTTAGATTTTAAATCATCTATCATTTAGTTGGTTTTCACAGAACACAATAGGCCAAAAAAGAATCTAAACAACACATCCATGTTGTAGGACTCTCCTGTGCCCTCTACTTTACCTTTTTAAATTTTAGTGGCTTGTTTGAACTATTCCAAGTCAGTCTGCAAAAAAATCAAGCTTAGATTTTGAACCTGTAATGGATAATGTCATCAACTTTGTTTACTCTTCTGTGATGACCAGTGAAAGAACAACAGCACTTCTAGCCTATGAAAGCTGAAACTTTACACATTATCTGAGGCCTGTACTATGAAGCTGGATTTGGTCTTAGCAAGATAACTTCTGGATAACTTCTGGGTTTTCCGTACAGGCTCAAGAAGACAGATGGTTTGAAAGAGGAGTTAAAGAAGCCATCTTTACCAAGTCAAGTCAAGTCAAGTCAAGTCAAGTTTATTTGTATAGCACATTTCAGCAGCAGGGCAATTCAAGGTGCTTTACATGAAACAAGCAGGCAAAACATTCAACACAATTTAAAAAGTAAAAACAGCGTAAAAGACATTTAACAGATTAAAAGTTACATTCAAAGCTAAAGTAAGATTGAAGATAAAAGAAAACAAAGGTTAGATTGGAGAGATAGAAAAAAAGATCAAGACAGGCAGATGATGAAGATGTTGATTAAAGGCCTCAGGTTTGATTTAATGATAGGCCACAGCAAACATATGCGTTTTCAGTTGTGATTTAAAAGAGCTGAGAGTTTCAGCAGACCTACAGTTTTCAGGGAGTTTGTTCCAGATATGAGGAGCATAAAAACTAAAAGCTGCTTCTCCACGTTTAGTTCTGACTCTGGGGACAGAGAGCAGACCTGCTCCTGATGATCTGAGCGGTCTGGATGGTTCGTAACGTATCAGCATATCAGAAATGTATTTTGGTCCTGATCCATTCAGTGCTTTAAAAACCAGCAATAGTATCTTAAAATCAATTCTTTGACAGACGGGAAGCCAGTGTAAAGATCTGAGAACTGGAGTGATATGATCTACTTTCTTGGTCTTAGTGAGGACTCGAGCAGCAGCATTCTGAATCAGTTGGAGCTGTCTGATGGATTTTTTGGGGAGACCTGTGAAGACACTGTTACAGTAGTCAAGTCTGCTGAAGATAAATGCATGGACAAGCTTTTCCAAATCCTGCTGGGTCATCAGTCCTTTGACCCTTGATATATTCTTCAGGTGATAGTAGGCTGACTTTGTAATTGTCTTTATGTGGCTGTTGAGATTCAGGTCTGAGTCCATGACAACGCCAAGGTTTCTGGCTTGGTTTGTGCTTTTTAACATTATCGATTGAAGCTGAGCACAGACTTTTAATCGCTCTTCTTCTGCTCCAAATACAATTACTTCAGTTTTATCTTTGTTTAGTTGAAGAAAATTCTGACACATCCAATCGTTGATTTGTTCAATACACTGACTCAGTGTTTGTATTGGATTGTAGTCGCCTGGCGATATGGTTATGTAAATCTGTGTGTCGTCTGCATAATTATGGTAAGATATTTTGTTGTTTGCTATGATTTGAGTTAGAGGGAGCATGTAAATGTTGAACAGGAGTGGCCCCAGAATGGAGCCTTGGGGAACCCCACATGTCATTTTTGTTCGCTCTGATGTGTAATTACCTAGAGACACAAAGTAGTCTCTATCCTTTAAGTAGGATGCAAACCAGTTTAGTACTGTTCCAGAAAGTCCCACCCAGTTTTCCAGTCGATCGAGTAGGATGCTGTGGTCAACCGTGTCGAAAGCGGCACTGAGATCGAGCAATACTAGGACTGAGATTTTGCCATTGTCTGAGTTTAAGTGGATGTCGTTAAAGACTTTGATAAGAGCAGTCTCAGTGCTGTGATGCGGTCGAAACCCTGACTGGAAAACGTCAAAACAATTGTTTAGGACTAAGAAGTTGTGAAGCTGTTGGAAGGCTGCTTTTTCAATGATTTTGCTTAAAAACGGGAGGTTCGATATAGGCCTATAATTGTTCATTACTGAGTTGTCTAGGTTGCTTTTTTTTAGGAGAGGCTTTATGACAGCAGTTTTCAGGGCCTGTGGAAAGACACCTGACAGAAGTGACATGTTGACAATCTGTAGAAGATCTGAGGCAATGCAATTAGAAACTGTTTTAAAGAAACCTGTCGGCAGAATATCAAGGCAGCAGGTGGAGGAGTTCAGATTTAGTATGATGTCCTCCAGGGTTTTAATGTTGATCGGGTTGAATTGTGTCATGCTACTGGGGTTAGTACACATGGACAACACATATCCTGTACCGGATATTGAGCTACTGACTGTTTGTCTAATTTTCTGGATTTTGTTATTGAAGAAGGAGGCAAATTCATTACAAGCCTTGGCAGACAGAAATTCAGAGGCTACTGATACTGGAGGGTTTGTTAGCCTGTCGACTGTGGTAAATAGGGCGCGTGCATTATTTTTGTTTTTGGTGATGATGTCTGAGAAGAAGGATCGTCTAGCATTTCTTAGTTCTAGGTTAAAGATACGAAGTCTCTCTTTATAGATCTGATAGTGAACCTGAAGGCTTGTCTTTCGCCATCTGCGTTCGGCTTTCCGACACTCTCTTTTTTCAGCTCTGACCAGCGCGGCATTCCTCCATGGAGATCTTTTCTTGCCAGAGACTATTTTCACCTTGGTGGGCGCAATGGCATCCATCACATTTGTGATTCTAGAGCTAAGGTCTTCTACAAGCTCATTGACCGAGAGCCGTGAGAGAGCTGGGAGAGGAGTCAAAGCCTGATTGAATATTTCACTGGTGTAGTCAGTGATAAGCCGCTTGGTGATTACCTCTGTCTGAGCAGTGGTGAATAACATAGAGATAGTACTCTCAAAAAACACACAGGAGTGATCAGAAATAGCAACATCAGTAACCATAATTTTGGGTATGTTCAGGCCCTTGGAAATAATTAGGTCTAGAGTGTGACCTCTATTGTGTGTGGGCTCTGTTACATGTTGGGTCAAACCATAGTTATCAAGGAGACAGCACAATTCTTTGGTGCCTCTGTCCTGGGGGTTGTCAACGTGAATGTTAAAATCACCAACAATCACTACACAGTCAAAGTCAATACAGATTATAGACAGCAATTCAGTAAAGTCATCAAAAAAATTCACACAGTATTTAGGAGGTCTGTAGATGTTAAGGAATATTGCTCTAGTAGCAGAGTTCAACTGGAAGGCCACATATTCAAAGGAGGGAAAATTCCCGTAGTACATCTGTTTACATTGCATTGAGTCCTTGAATAGAATAGCTACTCCACCTCCTTTTCTATGCTTCCTCGTTTCACTCATAAAGCTGAAGTTAGGGGGGGCTGACTCAATAAGTACAGTTGCACTGTTATCTTGTCCTAACCAGGTTTCAGTTAAAAACATTAAGTTGAGATTGTGCTTGATGATAAGATCGTTGATTAAGAATGATTTTCCAGCTAAAGATCTGACATTTAAAAGAGCTGAGTGTAGTGTGCTAGAGAAATTTTCTGTACTGGTTTTCATGATGGGCTGACGGGGGATGGAGACTAAGTTTGATAAATTCTTAGTTAGATACCTTCTGTTTTTAGGCAGATTAGTATGTCTATTACTTATTATGACTGGGATTGGTGGCGTTATCTCATCGGGCCGCAGGCTGTCCTGGGAAGAGATATAACTATAGTTATCCTTGCCTGGACCCAAAACATATCAGCAGGAGCTTATTGAGAACGAGGTGTTCCTCACTGTTAGTCCTGTGCTCTTATCACGCTGAGGGAGAGGATGCTGCAGTACTCCTTGTCGTGGGGGAGGAGGAGGGGCACGTTGCTGTTTGGAGGATTTGGGGCGATTTGGGGGGTTTGGAGGGGGGAAGACGGTCCTGTGGCTGGAGTGGTGGAGAGGCGTGCCGCTAAGTCTCACTCCAGCATTCTCCAGTTCTCTCAGTTCAGCTGGAAAATCCAGGAGGGAGGAGGAGGGGGATGGTGTGCCCAGGGAGGAGGATGCTATGGGTGACGTTTGACAGGGCACGTCTTCCTCGGTAGGTGGGCATACAGGAAGTAGAGATTCCTCCTCCTTGCTTGAGCAGGGTGGGTCCTCTAAGAAGAGCGGTGGTAGAAGAAGTACAGACTCCTCCTTCTGGCTTGAACCAAAGCTTTTTGTGCGCGGGGGGGCCCGAGGCGTCTCTCTGTCAAGGCCGTGGTGTTTTATCTCATGTCTTTTTGCCTCTTGTCTCTTGTCCTTGACGGATGGGTGACGCAGGGAGTGATACAGGTTGGAGGTGAATAGTTTCACTCCAGCTTTGTTTAGAGAGAGTCCGTCTGCTCTGAAGTAATGCCTGCGGTCCCAGAACAGCCTGAAGTTATCAATAAAGTTGACTTTGGTACAGGCAGTAGATAGCCATCGATTCAGGGCAAAAAGTCTGCTAAATCTCATATCTCCTCTTTTGATTGGTGGAAGGGGGCCACTGATGAATACCTGAGCATTCAGGGAGCTGACTGTTTTTAATAGTTCACTGAAATCACGTTTTAGTTTTTCAGATTGTTCTGTTACAATGTCATTAGCTCCACAGTGAATCACAATACCAGGCTGGAGAAACCTTCTCTGAACAGAGGGGGTGGACTCAGGCACAATCTCTCTGGCACTTACAATGCAGTTCTCAGCTCTCTCCCCAGGAAGCTCCACAAACATTCACACCTGGAACCACATGACCCAGGTGGCATGAGTCATGTGGTCACATGACAGGGGTCATTACAACCCTTTCAGTTAAACGACTTGGGGGGGGGGGCACACACCCAGAGATGGGTTTCTACGGCCCATTCTTTTCCAACCCCTCCCAGTCGTTGTCTGTCCCCTTCTCCAGTAAGATAAATATCTGCTCCTCACACTAGCAATTTTAGAACTGAAGAAGCTTCTTGGATAAGAGGCGAAACGTCTTCTCAACTCTACACAGTCCAGTTGCCTGTTTTTAAGTCTTCAAGGTACTACGAAGGTGGATCTCTTTCTATCCGCGTCTGTTGCCCCGGTAACTTACGTGGAACGCCAAACCTTCTCCGGAGCAGGTTATGTTTCAGGATAAGATCTCAGCAGGTATAAAAGACCGCCCAATGACCAATCGGATCTCTTGGAAAATGGCTTGCCCACTTTTGCCGGATCCCGGGGACATCATTGCATGGATAGTGAGAGGAGCGCTTCGCAGAGAGCGTTATATTCATGATCGTTCAAATCCGTTTGATTTACCTGATGATGTTCTCTATGAACGTTACAGGTTTTCCTTGGACGGCCTCAATATTTAGGTAGCATGAAGTCTAAGCAATGCACTAATATTTGCCAAGCTCCAAGTTCCAATTTCATGCAGCATATCAGTAATCATTCAGAATTTATTGAAGCAGATTAGAAAACTCTTAACCCCAAATGTGTCTGCAGATGACGTGACCATCAGATGATGGAGAAAAAAAGAAAAAAAGGCAGTGTGAGGAAATCACTGTTTACGCGTTGAAATATGTACAAATAAAATCTTCCAATAAACTTACAAACTACTTTAAAGGATGTTTCTATATTTATTTTTATTTGCTCCCACGTACTCTTTTCCCCACTGCTGTTGTATCTGAAATAATGAGGTCAATGATGGAGGTGATCACACACGCTGCTTGACAACATATTAGGGTGCCACAAATTTATGAACACACAAATGTAATTTACACAACCGGTGATTTAATTTGCTTTTAGCGGCTGTGGCTGTCCTGCTCCTCACTGTTATAATGTTGTGGTACTCCTCGTATTTGCGTAAAATAATGCTCTGTTCTTTGGCTGAGAAAAATGACGTGCAGCCTTCTCCATTGTGGAGATTGGTCCGGTGGCACTGACCCCACCCCCTTCACGTGTGCGTGCACAGATCTGAAGTGGCCACACCTGGATTCAGTTATCGAGTTGATAACCGGCTTCATAGTACAGCTGATCGGGATCGCAGAGATCCGGTGAAGTTGAGCGAGTTGTCGCAGAGTTACCCTGGATGTGTTAATCCAGCTTCGTAGTACAGGCCTCTGGTCAAAAACAGGTAAATTTCAGTGAGCAGGGTCCCATATAGTAAAGCCAACTTCTTCATTATGACAACTCTGACCTGAAAATCCAAAAAATTTTCACTTTGCTTTCTATTCTCTCCTCTGTCCATCTCTCTTTCTTTATCTCCCTCTATCAGTCTCTCCTCTGTCCATCTCTCTCTCTCCCCTCCCTAAACCCAGCTCAGTCTCAGCAGATAACTGTCTAACATCAGTCTGGTTCTGCTCGAGGTTTCTGCCTATCGAAGGAAGTGCTTCCTCTCTACTGTAACTTGATAACTGCATTAAAGTATTTTACTCATGTGGTTGAAGATGGGATAGGTCTGTGGGTCTGATCTTACATGATGGGCCTCAGTCTGATCATATCTTTACGTTGGGTCTGGGTAGACCAGCTTTTTTGGTTAAGCATATTTGGATAACACGTGTTGCCATCAGTTAGGGTTAATATTTAAGAATTAACAGAAAACAACCATTGCACATGAGCTCTGAGTAGTTGTATTGATTGTGCCAACATTTATCTGTGATTACAAACAACAAAAAGTAGTGTATGATCGCCCAAATTTAAACTAAATTTTTTAATGATGTTAATTTTTAGTATGATCATAGACTGAGAGACAACGCATCCTGCTGCACTGTGACATAAAGAAGGGAAAGATCACAATCATTTAGCAGTATTTAGGTTATGGAGCTGTCTCATCCTCTTACTGTATGTTTCATTTGTCATTATTTAATGCATGTCTTACTGATGATTAAAATGGGAATTACGAAGAAATGAAATTGTTTTTAATGGTGTTTTAGTGCTTATGCCTATCGCCAAAGCCAGCACAGTCCCCACAGTGAGTCAGGACTGTTTCTAAACTTCACTCTCATAAGCTTGTAGGGGACTGTAATGCAAAAAAAATTCCTTCCTCTCAGTTACGGTGCTTCCTTCAGTTGTTGATTCCTCCCGCCAGTACAGCACCAGTACAGTGTAGCCTTTCTATTAATTGTTTCAACAGATAAGTGTTTTTCTGCTGCTTTTGCTTAGCAGTGTTAAGTCTGAAAGAAGAAGAAGAAGAAGAAGAAGAACTTTATTCATCCCCGAAGGGAATTTCAATTGTCTGTAATATCTCTATAAAAGTTATCTATTATTTACAAAAGAGTTATAAAGCCTGATGGCTGTTGGTACAAAAGATCTTCTAAATCTTTCTGTCCTGCAGCGAAGAGAGAGGAGCCGTCCACCCCCATTTGCCCTTTGGTCCATCAAGGTGTTGTGAAGTGGGTGATCCATGTTCTTGAGAATAGTCTCCACCTTCCTCAGTGTACATCTCTCCACCACATCCTCCACTGAGTCCAGCTTGAGTCCAACCACAGAGCCAGCCTTTTTCACCAGTTTGTTAAGACGTCTTGCATCTTTGTGTTTGATGCTTCCTCCCCAGCAGACTGCAGCGTACAACAGAACACTTGCCACCACAGACTGATAAAACATCTGCAGCATCTTACTACAGACGTCTATTGATCGGAGTCTTCTCAGGCAAAAAAGGCGGTTCTGCCCCTTTCTGTAGACGTAGTCTATATTCTTAGACCAGTCCAACTTATTATCCAGATGTACACCTAGGTATTTATATGATTTCACCACTTCGATGTCCACTCCACAGGTGTTCACTGGCTGAAGAGGGGGTTTGGATCTACGGAAGTCTATGACCATCTCCTTTGTCTTTGAGGTGTTGAGGAGGAGGCTGTTTTTGTGACTCCAGTCACTGAAGGCTCTTATTAGATCTCTGTATTCAGCTTCTTGTCCATTTCTGATACATGCCACAATAGCTGTGTCATCTGAGTATTTCTGGATGTGGCAGGACTCAGTACTGTATTTGAAGTCTGACGTGTACAGTGTGAACAGGAATGGCGCCAGCACTGTCCCTTGTGGAGCCCCTGTACTGCTTATTAATGTCCCAGAAACACAGCTCCCCAGCCTGACAAACTGTGGCCTTCCTGTCAGGTAATCTGTGATCCAGGAAACACAGGAAGGATCCATTCCCATCTCTGTAAGCTTTTCTTTGAGAATGGTGGGTTGGATGGTGCTGAATGCACTTGAAAAGTTGAAGAACATGATCCTCACATAAACCCCAGGTTCCTCCAGATGAGACAGGGCACGGTGAGGACAGCATCATCCACTCCAATGTGTTCTTTGTATGCAAACTGCAGGGAGTCCAGTTTGTCTTTGACCTCAGAAGGCGTAGAATCAGCCGCTCCAGGGTCTTCATGATGTGTGAAGTGAGGGCCACTGGTCTGTAGTCATTGAGTTCAGCAGGACATTTTGTTTTTGACACTGGCACAATGCAGGATGTTTTCCACAGAGCAGGTACCCGCCCCAGCTGTAGACTCAGGTTGAAGATCTTGTGGAGAGGTTGACACGGTTCTGCAGCACAGTCTCTAAGCAGCCTTGGACATACACCATCTGGACCAGCTGCCTTCCCAGGACAAAGTCTTCCAAGCTGCATCCTCACCCCTGTTTCAGTGACAGACAAGGACTGGTGTTCTAGGAGGGAGGCAGTTGAAGTGGTAGAGACATTTGAACGAGATGGAGGAGGAAGGGGAGAAGTTGTAGTGGAGATTTGTTGCGGAGAGGAAGGTGGAGTAGCAGTGGAAGTGGGAGTGACAGCAGTGTCAAATCTGTTGAAGAACAGGTTGAGTTCATCAGCTCTTTTCACATCACCCACTGCTGGCTGTCTTTTTTTACTTTTTACTGCTGTGTCCAGAAATGGTACTGATTCCTCTCCACACTTCACTGTGTTGTAGATTTCTCTCTACCTTGTTTTTGTACTCCAGCTTTGCCATCTTCAGTCTCCTCTTTATCTCTTGTTGCACTTGTTTGAGTTGTTCTTTGTCACCATCTTTAAAAGCTTTCTTTTTCCGGTTGAGGATTGCTTTTATGTCTCTTGTGATCCAGGGTTTCTTGTTGGGGAAACAGTGAACAGTTTTTGTGGGTATAACTGTGTCTCTACAGAAGTTGACATAATCAGTAAAGCAGTCAACCTGTTTATCAATGTTCATATTATCCACATCTGTTTCCAGCAACACATTCCAGTCTGTTGATTTAAAACAGTCCCTTAGAGCTTCACTGGCTTGAGGTGTCCATCTTCTTATTTTGACTTTGGTCACAGGCTGCCTCAGCACACAAGGTCTGTAACAGATTTGTAGATAGACCAAGTTATGATCTGACTTGCCCAGTGGTGGTAAGGCAGTGGCTCTGTAGGCTTCTTTGACGTTGGCATACAGCAGATCCAGGGTCTTGTTTTCTCTAGTAGGACAGTTCACAAACTGTGTGAATCCAGTCAGGTGAGAGGAGAGGGTGACATGGTTGAAGTCTCCCGATATTATTATTAATGCCTCAGGGTGTTGAGTATGTAGCCTGGCAACACTATTTTGCAAAACATCACAACATTCCTCAGTTGATTTGGGTGGAATGTAAACAACTACTGTTGTGATATGACTAAATTCTCTGGGAACATAATATGGCCGAAGAGCAACTGCCAACAGTTCAATATCTGGACAACACAACTTCTCCTTGACAGTTATGTGTGAAGGGTTACACCAGCTCTGGTTGACAAATAAAGCCAGACCTCCTCCTTTCTTCTTGCCACTAGCTTGAGCATCTGTGTCTGACCTTTTGAGAGTGAAGCCAGGTAGATCCACACTGGAGTCGGAGTTGTTTTGATTCAACCAGGTTTCAGTAAAAAACAGGAAACTGCACTCACGGTATGCTTTCTCAGTCTTCACCAAGATCTCCAGCTCATCGCTTTTGTTGGGCAGAGAGCTGACCTTTCCCATGATGATTGATGGAAGAAAGGGTTTATATCGCCACCTCCTAGCATTCAGCTTTGCCTTCACCTTTGCACCAGAATGGCAACCACGATAACACCTCTTGATGTCCTCTGGAATTGTATGTTTTTGCCCAGATTTGCTTTTCCTCAATGAAAGGAGCACTTCTCTTGAGTAAACTCTTCGCCCAGCAGAAGTATCCATCACCAGCCAACAAAATTACAACATAAATATGAAAAAATCTAGCATAAATTACAAAAATTACAGATAATACAGAGAGACCAGACTTGCAGCAACCTCTCGGTTCAAGCGCATCATTCAACCGAATGCATACATATGTATCTAAGCATACATATCAGAATATTTTCTCATCTGCTGTTTTACTCTGCTCCTCTCTTTCATTCCTCATGATTCTATACCAGGCCAGTGCAAACAAAACTTAAAAAAAAAAAAAAAAACATTACTTGTGCAACAACTCCAGCAAAGATATAAACCTGATCTTAGAGTTAGTAATGATGATATTAGCATGCATACTGCACTCACTGAGCATGGGAGAGAAGAAGACTTCTGAGGTGGGACTGGTTTTCCTCCACTTGTACACTGGGATCGGCTTCCCGGAGCTGGATCTACAGCTAAGAGTCACGTTTCCCTTCAGCACAGGTTTCCCTGACAGAGAGCACTTAGGAACAGCAGGAGGCACTGAGATAGAAAGATTACACAATAAGATCTATTAGATAGTTGGTCATCAAAACCATCCTGCACATGAATTCCTGAAAAAAAGCAGTCAGTCTCACCCTTTACGTCCAGTGTCAGATCTGCAGTGAGACCAGCATTGTTGGGGATGATGACCTGGCAAAGGTAGCGTCCTGAGTCGGTCTCCTTTGTATTGTTTATGTAAATGGAAATGTCCCGTGATGGCATGCTGGCTGTGAAACCAACACGGCCCACGAACTGAGAGCTGCCCACGCTCATGGAGCCTTTGGTGTAGGAGATGATCTGGAAAAAGTCAAAGATTAAATGTCGGAACCATTAGAGCACAATGAAAAATGCTGGGGGGGGGGGGGGGGGGGCTGCCTCACTGACATCCAGGGCTGGACTAAAAATGGCCCAGGCAATTTTGGCCCTGGCGGCCCACCATGATTACGATATGCAGAGGCACATACCAGAGGATATATGTGCAGGTTTGTCATTTCAAAAATTAAAATAAAGTGCAGCAGCCTACATGAAAGAGATTAACCATGTTAAAAAAAAACAAAAAACGATATAGATTATAGATCTCAGTGCATCATAATAGACGCTGTTGAGGCTGTGTTGACTTGTTCCTGTAGTAAAACCTGAGCAAAACCTTCAGGTTTTTGGTAATATGCTGAATACGCTCCATAAAAGACAAATATTGTCGCAAACTGGCAGTGGTACAATGGCCCCTCAGTGCTTTAGTGATGAGTATATCTTCATTAAGAATTTTTTGTTGTTTTTCTTGTGTTTTTGTTAACCCTTGGTTTCTTTCTCCCTTTTTCCCAGTGCCTCCCTCCGAGCCTCTCAGCAAGCCACCACCCTGCATTCTCTCTCCTGGATTCTCTTCACCACCACAATGAGTCCGTTTCACGTAGGTGGTTCAACAAACTCTGAGTCAAATCCTTAACTCTGAGTTGATCTACTCTGAGATAGGAAACTCTGAGTTTCCGGTTTCACAACACCTGACTTGAGTCAGTTTTAGCAACTCCGAGTAGTTTGACCTGGAGTTAAGCACATGCACGCCAGACATAAACAGCCAGCATCTGTGGAGCCCAGATTCATTGATCAACCAATGGAAACAGGGAGAAGGAGGGCAGCATTTTTTACGCAATAGGCTGGAAGTACTGATGCAAGCCAACAGCGAATTACAGCACGTTTTTAAAAGAAAGTGCAATACAGCAGGAGCTGCAAAGGAGAGGGAGAGGGCATGGGAGGAAATTGCTGCTCGAGTCAATGCGTAAGTTTAAATCTAGTCTTGTGCAATCACAATGACAGATTGTTGCAGGGGAAACTGCTTGCATGGAGCCAATTAATTTGTTTTATGTAGGTGCAATCCAATGGGACAAAAGTGCACTTGGCAGCAGCTGAAAAGTAAATATAAAAACATTGTGCAAACAGGTGAGACATCTGCATTTTCTCATTTTGATCATGTTTTACATGGTCAAGTAAGTATTAAGTGGCAGTTTGATCCCTTACAAAATGCTCTTTTCACACTCAAAAATGAATTTTACTCTCTTATGATGTTCTGTTAGGAAATAATTAGGAATATTAAACTAACTCTCAGTACACTCAATATTAGACTTTCACTCAGCAAACAGAAAGAGGGCAGATGCCGATTCGACGATCGCGGCCGGTCCGATCGCAAATCCCTCCCACACCGGTCCGACGATCGCCGGGCCGCTGCCGCTGGAGGAGAATCACGGCCGGCCCGTGCATATAGGTGAACATGCAAGTGCAGCCTGCAGCCAGCCAGTGACTGATTTGTCACATTTTGGAAATTAGGGGCGGTGCCGCTGCGGCCAATGTTTTATTAGCTGTACCGCCCGTTGCACACATTACAATTTGCCACTCTAATCAGCTGCCTTGTTCGCCTATATGCACGGGCCGGCCATGAGAGTGTGGCTGAAAGAGGGCGGAGACAGAGAAAAACTCTGGGTTTACTGAGGAAAACCTGGTCCCGACCAGGGGCCTGTTCTACGAAGCAAGTTCAACCTAGCGAGGTCGCCTTGGAGCTACCTCGCTCAACTTAGCGCGGTAGCCAGCGGTCTCGCTAAACGGTCTTATGACGCTGGTTATCAACCTCGTAAGTGGATCCAGCTTTGCTATGAGCGCGTGCACGCATGTAAGGCGGAGCTCGCCGCATCTGACCAATCGGGACTTTACAAACGAAAGTATGAAGAATTCAAATCTATCATAAACCTCAAAAGCAACACCGTCGCTGCTGCAAAAGCACGGAAGGAATGCTTGCAGAAAATTAATCTTTGATGCCATTATCACCCTGAAATAGCACTGTTCAACATGCGCTTTTAACTAAGGTGACCAGACGTCCCCAATTTCTGGGGACAGTCCCCGAATTGGATGATCTGTCCCCGAAAATGTCCCCAATTTAAGAGTTTCATGAATGAGAACAAAAATGTTGCATGTAGGCTAGAACAACGGTTATTACAGTAGGTGGGAAGCACAAGTAAGCAGTCCTGAACAACAGTATTTATGGGGGTTATTACAAGGGGCGCGCGCTGATACTAAATAGTACCGAGATGTTGTCTGTGATCACACAGCCCATGCAGCCCATGCCCAATTCATTTCCAAGATGAATTCATTCATTTGTTCATTCCTATCGTGTTTACATTTTTTGTGTGATATGTAGGCCATATGAGCCTTTCATAAAGGTGGTCATCCGGAAAAGTAAGTCCGTGGGGTCCCTGAAAACTCTCACGTGCCGGAGTGCTCCTTGGACAATGCGAGCACCGAGGTCTATAGGATCCTCCAAGAACGGTCAAGCTATTTTTCAAGAGAGCTCATTCGTCAGTGGGCGGGGTTTTTATACTTGGTGAGTTCAATCTGGAACCTAACCTGCCCCGGAGCAGGTTAGCCGTTCAGCGTATGTTGCCATGGAGAATCGCCTTGCTGAGAAGTGAACCCGCATCGTAGAACAGGAAACCCCGAACTTACCTTCGAAGTTACCTCGCAGTAATCCTGCTTCGTAGAACAGGCCCCTGGTTAGGTTCACGGAGTCTGTTACTATGGTAACTGACCGCGAGGTTGAGTTACCTCTCTTTGTGAAACAGGTTAGAGTTACCCCTCTCTCTCTGGTTTAACTGACCCTTCTTTGTGAAACGGAAAACTCGGAAAACTAATATCTCTGAGACATAAACCTGTTAAACCTGCGACCCATTGTCTGGTTACATTTTGGGTCCATTACATTTGGCCATTACACTCACGCCACCAAACTGTCATCAATTAAAAGCCCACAGTATATAACAGTAGAAAGCAGCTCAACTCTTTGGTAACAACTTTCCCTGATGAGATGGTTTTTACCACACTTCAAGAAGTAAAAAACATGAGTTGAGTTTCATCTGCATTTGAAATAGGCTGTAGTTAAAACAGCTGACCTTGTACTTCATCAAATCCATGCTGAAAAATTAAGAAAGCTTGAGCCAGTTTTCGGCACAAAGCCCAATAAATGACAGTGTAATTTACATTAAAGTGGAAAACAGCATTCCAGGCACGCAGTCCAAAAAACTTTATGGAAATCGTAAAAAGGTTGCGGTTCAGAACTCTCCAAAGGGAAATTCAATGATGTAGAACCCCCTTATGGATTTACAGCACCCCTGAGGCAATACCATATAATTAAACTGCTTGGGTTCTACAAGTGAGATAGTTGAGAAACCACCACAGTGCATGTTCAGAAAACCCAATGGTATTACGACATTTAAGTAAGACGTAAGCCGTTGTCAGACAACACAAATTGAGTCGCTGTATTCACGAGAGCCAAAAGATTTTATCTCCAGCGTGTCTTGTATAATATAGCCAGTGAAAGTCATCATGTAGAACTCAAAGATAAACTGATGACTATGTGAAGGCAGGAGTTGAGCTGTGAAAAAAAATCAGGGGGAATGGTGGATTTTCTTGTTTTGGACAGATATTTTGTTTTGATGACAGAGCTCATTGTGGGAACCAACTGTGTACCCATTTTATTGTTTTACTGTATTGTTTTATTGTTCTAAAATTAATTATTATATTACAGGGATATTACATGGTTCTCACTCAAACAATCAAAATATAGTAGAAAAACACGTGTAGTCAGAAAAATATGGTGATGGAGATATTTATTTACCACCTGCCTTCCAAGCTGCATTGCAAAAGTATTTACAAAAGTGCAAAAAATGGTCAAATACTATTTACAAAATGTACAAAGCAAAAAGAAAATGCCAGCAGGGCAACAGTTCTCCTATAACTCTAGACTCTCACTCGAGAAAAAAAAACAGAAACACAGCACAAAAGTCAGCTTGGCAATTATCTCCCATACAACAAACTCCAGACTTAAAGAAAGGCCAAGGCAGCCTTCTTTTAAACCCCCTTAGCCCCTCCCAGTGGGCATTATCAATTACATAAGTTTAAAAAAAAAAACATTTATTCTCGTTTAAACTATTTTTGTCATTTCTAACCTTCAGACCTTTTTCTGTGAGTTTTTACCCTTTTAACCAAGTTTTTTACACAAATCAATAGAGCTTTATTTTTTAGGGATTCATGGCAAACAACAAGGGAATTAATTATTCTTGCATCATGTGACCACTTTGACCCGCCATACCCAACTTTTTTACACCCAGAAATCACCCTCTGTTTCTCATTTGGAAACCTGAGCCGGCATGATGGCATAAATGAATGGACACCCAGCAAGTAAGTGGAGGGGTGATGAAAATCTAAGTGAATGTATGCTTAAGTTAGCCAATAAAGTTCCAAGTGTGCAACCTTGGTTAACCCTATCCAACAGAGAAGGAAGACAAAAAGTATCACTGTTTGGTGGCTAATTAGTGACGGAGAGGGAAATGTTTGGCGTGTATGTAGGTATGTATATGTGTGTGTGTGTCTGTGTGTGTGTGTGTGTGTGTATGACTCCATGCGCTGCCTGCACATCTATGATTCTATCGCTTTGATTGGTTGTAAAACCTGTCAATCTCAGCTCAGCGACCGCCTTTTGCACAAAAAAAAAAAAAGATGTACCAAAACCGATGTTACTACTCATCATTGACATGGCCCAGACTCTATTTATCTTTTTAAAAAGTTGGGGTTTTTTTTTCTTTATCCGAATAATCTTTTATGGGAAATACAGCGATTTTGTGTTTTTTACAATCAAAAACAAAAGTGACATGGTGCACAATAACTAGCATAAAAAAGGTAGTACATCCAATTTTTTAATTTTTTTTAATTTTTTCATGATCAGGGCTGAATCTGTTGAAGAGATATGATTCCAAATTTTAAGAAAATGTAAAAAAAAAAAAAAAAAGATTATTTCATGAACACTTATCTGCATGTCTGTTTTGGGGACAAAGTAGGCTGGACGGAGTGTCCTGACTCCTCCTCCTGACTGGTGAGCATGTGCATTGCTCATAGACTGTATATAAGATGGACAGAGTCTGCCTCCTCGCTGGGTGAAGCCACTCCGAGGACAGCACCCTCCGATGGTGGGCTGCAGTACAGATCATAAATCTCGCCTGCGCCAGCAAAGCTTATGGGACTGTGGACAAACTTTAGAAATTTATTACACAGAACATTAATTTTTCTCCCCCCTGCTTGTGATGTTGACATGTAGTTATTGTAAGACTGGTTTGTGCCCAAGTCCTTTTTTTTCTGTACAGCTCCGTTTTTAAAAGTTATTAAGGGTTCATGTTTTCTATGATTGACACCTGGTACAGCCTATGGGCGTTCAGGGATTGCGTAGCTCTTCCGGGGGAATACGCTGTTTGAGCCGAGCATCATCACAGGGACTCTCGGCGACTGCGCGGCCGAATGCGCACAACGCTACTGCACAGCTCTGGTTTCAAGGAAGTAGAGAAAAATCCGGAATTACCGAGAGCTTTTTGGCTTCAAATCCGTATACTGGCGGAAGGCGGAACCACGGTGTCCATCTTATATACAGTCTATGGCATTGCTTCATTCCCTTCCTTGCTGTTGAACTGTGTGTAGCGTTTTGTTCCTCCTAATAGCGTTCTTGCTGTTTGGGTTATTTTCTCTCTTTTAATCTATCAATACATCTGTTTGTTTAAAAGTCTGTAAGTATTTCTGATAGTTTTCACCAAGTACCGTCTTTATCTCCATTCCGGGTGATCTCTCTGGTAGTTTACTTTACTAGCTCCTAGCTTCTCTTAGCTTAGCTTCTCTTAGCTTCACTTGCTAATGATGGCTTCCCCCCCCGGTCTCCTGCCTCTCCTGCTCGCTTCTGCTCAGTGTGTCAGATGTTTAGTTACTCCTCATCCTCCTTAGACGATAACGATACCTGCTTTAAGTGTAGTTTATTCTTAGCTCTGGCTCCGCACCGATGCTAGAGTAGCGGTAGCCAGCCAGGACACGGTAGCCGGTGCAGGTCGGCCTAGCTTAGCTTCCCCCCCGGCAGATCCTGAGCAGCCGGGATGTAGTATTGGTTGGGTCACTGTGAAAGGGAAGCATAGCAGTAGGCCTAAGAAGCCCACGTTAGACCACCATATTCACATTTCAAAAAATTTGCCCCTCTCAACAACACACCTGCTGAGCCCGACGCTCTTGTGATTGGAGACTCTGTAGTCCGACATGTGAAATTAGCGAAGTCAGCGGCCATAGTTCAGTGTCTTCCAGGGGCCAGAGCGGGCGACATCGAAGGTGGTTTAAAACTGCTGGCAAAGGCTAAACGTAAATTCCGTATGATTGTAATACATGTCGGCGTTAATGACTCCCGACACCGCCAGTCGGAAGTCACTAAATTAAACATGGAATCGGTGAGTGAATATGCCAAAACCATGTCAGACTCCGTAGTTTTCTCTGGTCCCCTGTCCGATCAGACAACTGATGAGATGTGTAGCCATATCTCATCATTCAACCGCTGGCTGTCGAGGTGGTGTCCGCATAACGGCGTGGGCCTCATTGATAATTGGAAGTCATTTTGGGGCAAGCCTGGTCTGATTAGTCGGGACGGCATTCATCCCACTCGAGATGGAGTGGCCCGTTTATCCAGAAATCTGGCCGATTTCATTGGTCCGAACCACTGACAATTCAAAGCAGAGATCAGGGAGCAGGGCCGCAGTCTTACACGCCCCCCTGCACCTCCTTTAGAGCAGCTTACCAGCCACTACCACTTATATACAGACAAGGGAGCAGAGCCGCAGTGTAAAACGCCCCTCTGTACTCCCTTCAGAGCAGCCTTCGAGCTACAAACTTCCGGTTGAGTGGACGCTGGCGCGTTTGGCTGCCGCTGCTCACCGGTAACATTTTAACTTTTTAAAACTTTTCCGTGCTCTGGAGACCAACTCCCAGTTAAGCTGGTCTCCCCTGGACTCTTACCCTGTAATTCAGCAACTTTTCGGTGAATTTGAGCTCCCATCGCCCAGTGTGCCTGGTCGGGTAGCCTACTTACTCGACACACCACCCGGCTCCCCAGCTCATCATCTCCACCTCGCTTCACCATGTGGATCAGTCGGGTCTATCTACCGGCTACCCTGGTCACCCTGGCGTGGACTGCCCTGTCGCTCCTCCATCTACCCGTCGAAGGACTCCTCCAATATTCAGCGGCGGAGTTTCTCAGACTCCGCTCCCAGAAGCCTGGACCTCCACCGGCGGCTCTACACCTCCACCCGGACATCGCCCTCCAGCCACGTCCGAGGTATATCCACCGTGGGTCCCGGCGGGCTGTCCACTCTGGCGGCTCTGGGATTACCTCTTTCTGGTCCTCCACTCGTCGCCAACACAAAAACACCGGCCGGGCTCTGGACCACAGGGTGTTAGCCAACCTGGCTAGGTCGGCTAGCACTCCCCACAACAACAACGCCACGGACGTCAGCTTCGGTCTGCTAAATATCAGGTCCCTCTCAGGTAAAGGACATCTTGTCCAAGATATCCTTGTTGACCGCAAGTTTGACTTTTTATGTTTAAACGAGACGTGGCAAGTCCCCGGTGACTTTTCACAGCTGAACGACTCCTCTCCGGCGGGGTTTATTTACATCTCGAAACCGCGTGAGTCGGGACGTGGCGGAGGTCTCGCGATACTGTATTGCGAGAAGTGGAAGGTCCTGCCTGTCTCTCTGCCTCCTCTCTCCTCACTGGAATGCCTAGCGTGTCAGCTACCCGGACCTGTCCCCACAATCATTGCCACTATATACCGTCCTCCCAAACCCCACAGCAACTTCTGAAATGAATTCTCTGTCCTTCTTACACACCTCGCCACTCTCTCACCCAATATAATCCTGCTTGGAGATTTCAATATCCACATGGACAATCCCACCCTACCCCTTACCACAGACTTCTCTTCATTACTTGACAGCTTTGGTTTCCAGCAGTTTGCAGATTTCCCCACACATATCAAAGGCCACACAATAGATTTAATTTGCTGCTCAGGTCTCACCCCCTCCAAATGTACCGCCGACACATTACACATTACGGACCACTCCCTCCTCTCACTTAACGTCAATCTTCAGCTCTCCATCTCCAAAGCCCCCCGCACCATCTCATACCGCAACATAAAGGACATTAACTTGGACTCCCTTTCCTCCTACATCACCACCCTCACCCTGAACCCCACCTCCACCCCTGATGATCTTGTCACACAATATAACGATGGACTGTCCAATATATTGAACTCAATTGCTCCTATCAAATCCCGCTCTGTCTCCTTCACTAGATCCGCACCCTGGTTTACCCCCCATCTCCGCTCCCTAAAATCCAAAAACCGACAACTAGAAAGACTCTTCAGAAAAACCATCCACAAAGACATCCTAACAACTCAGTTGTCTCTCTATCAGGACTCAATCTCTCATGCCAAATCTCAATACTACTCTGGACTCATCTGCTCCAATGCTGGTAACCCCAAGTCTCTCTTCTCTATCTACAACCATATCATTCAACCCCCGGACTGCTTTCCTCCCCACATGTACTCCTCAGACACCTGCAACTCTCTCCTCAGTTTTTTCAATAACAAAATCAGCAAGATCCATCAGAACCTGGGCTGTTGCCTCCCAACTCCACACCCATCTCACCCACAACAGTCTCTATGAACAGTTCCAGTCCGGCTTCCGTCCCCTCCATAGCACTGAAACAGCCCTCATCAAAATCACTAATGACCTCCTCATGGCAGCTGATTCCGGTTTAATCTCCATCCTCATTCTCCTCGATCTGAGTGCGGCCTTCGACACCATCTCTCATCCCATCCTCCTCCATAGACTCTCCTCCATAGGCATTACTCACACCCCCCTCCACTGGTTTCACTCATACCTCACTGGCCGCACTCAGTTCATCCAACTCAAATCATTCACCTCACAGCCCTCCCCTGTCACTTCTGGTGTCCCCCAGGGTTCTGTCCTAGGCCCCCTCCTCTTCATTATCTATCTCCTTCCCCTTGGCAACATCCTCCGTAAATTTGGCATACATTTTCATTGCTTCGCAGATGACACCCAGCTCTACCTCTCCAGCAAACCCGACGCCTCCCTTCCACCCTCCTCCCTCACCCACTGCCTCTCAGAAATTAAATCCTGGTTCACCTCAAACTTCCTCAAACTCAACTCCAATAAAACAGAACTCCTCCTGGTCGGTACCAAGTCCACTCTTTCCAAAACTAACAGTTTCTCCCTCTCCATAGACAATTCCACAGTATCCCCTTCCCCTCAGGTTAAGAGTCTGGGTGTCATCCTCGACAGCTCTCTATCATTCCACTCCCACATCAGTAGCATCACCCGGTCTGCATATTTCCACCTACGAAACATCAACCGTCTCCGTCCATCACTCACTCCTCACACCACAGCTATTCTGGTCCACAGCCTTGTTACTTCACGCATAGACTACTGCAACTCACTCCTCTTCAGTGCCCCTCACAAATCCCTCCATAAACTTCAACTTGTCCAAAACTCTGCAGCCCGCATTATCACCAGAACCCCCTCTTTTCACCACATCACCCCTGTCCTTCAGCAGCTTCACTGGCTCCCCGTCAAGTTCAGAATCAACTACAAAATCCTCCTGTACACCTTCAAGGCCATCCATAACCTTGCCCCCCCCTACCTCTCCGATCTCCTCCACATATCCACCCCCTCACGCTCCCTCAGATCCTCCTCCTCCCTCCACCTCTCTGTCCCCTCTGCCCGGCTCAGCACCATGGGGAGCAGGGCTTTCAGTCGCTCTGCTCCCAAACTCTGGAACTCTCTCCCCCCGGACCTCAGGAACATGGACTCACTACCCCACTTTAAATCCAATCTCAAAACACACCTATTCCGAATCGCATACTCAGTTTAACTGTCTACTTTCACACCTGTATGTTGTTTTTATTTATTTTAATTATGTTTCTAGCTGTGTTTTTATGCCCTGTAAAGTGTCCTTGGGTGCTCAGAAAGGCGCTTTTAAATAAAATGTATTATTATTATTATTATTATTATTATTATTACAATCAGTTTGATATAGAGATCAGGGAGCATAGCCGCAGTGTAAAACGCGCCTCTGTACTCCCTTCAGAGCAGCTTCCTAGCTACAATCAGTTTGATATAGAGATCAGGGAGCAGAGCCACAGTGTAAAACGCCCCTCTGTACTCCCTTCAGAGCAGCTTCCAAGCTACAATCAGTTTGATATTGAGATCAGGGAGCATAGCCGCAGTTCTACACGTTCCTCTGCACTTTTGTTAGAGCAGCCTCCTAGCTACTGTCACTTTAATATAGAAATTGTGTCTGTCCCTCATCCTCGGCTCTTTAATTCTGACTGATCGATTAACAAAGGAGTAAATAACCTAAAGAACCTTACTAGAATTAAAACTGCTAACATAGCTGAACCGAGTACTAGTAAGATAAAATGTGGTCTACTGAACATAAGGTCTCTAAATTCCAAATCTGTGTTAATAAATGAACTAATCTCTGAACATCGCATTGATTTACTCTCTGTAACCAAAACTTGGCTGCGTCAGGATGAATATGTCAGCTTGAATGAATCCACTCCTCCTAGCCACCTAAGCTTTCACATTCCCCGGGACTTTGGCCGAGGTGTTGGAGTTGCAGCTATCTACAATTCCAGTCTTGGAATTAACCCAAGACCAAAACTGGATTATACCTCTTTTGAAAGTCTTGTTCTCAGTCTTCTGCATCCAGCTTCAAAGACCATGAGACCACTGGTATTTGCTATTGCTTATCTCCCTCCGAGCCCATACTCTGAGTTTTTGTCAGAATTCTCAGAGTTTCTATCTGATTAGACTTTTTCTTGCAGACAAAGTCATCATTGTTGGTGACTTTAATATTCATGTGGATGTGGAAAATGATAGCCTAAGCATTTCTTTCTTGTCCTTGCTAGACTCAATTGGGTTTACACAGTGTGTACATGGACCTACGCACTGCTTTAACCACACCCTCGATCTTGTCCTGGCTTATGGCCTTGAAGCTGAAGCCCTGTCAGTCAGTTCATTAAATCCTCTTTTATCGGATCACTTTCTAGTAACTTTTGAATTTGTGCTTTCAGGCTACTCTCCTCATAACAAAGCTGTGGTAACTAGAAGGTTGTCTGAAAATGCTGTGACTAAGTTCAAGGAGGCAATTCCGTCTGCTCTTAATTATGTGCTTGAGAAGAACTTCGCTGATAGCTCATACTTAAACATCAGTCCCTTGCAACTTGATCAGTTCGTCGATGATACCTCAGGCACATTGCGATCGATTCTTGACTCAGTTGCTCCTCTTCGACAGAAAACTCTTACACGTGAGAGACTGGATCCGTGGTACAATGCTGAAATCCGTGAGCTGAAACAGTTATTAAGAAGACGAGAAAGGATTTGATGCTCTTCCAAAACAGCTGAAGCTCGTTTTCTCTGGCAGGAATGTCTTGATAAATATAAGAAGGCCTTACGACATGCTCGGACAACTTACTACTCGTCTCTTATTGAAAAAAATAAGAATAACCCCAGATATCTCTTCAGCACTGTGGCCAGACTGACGGACTGTCAGAGCACTGCTGAACCATGTATCCCATTAGCCCTCAGCAGCAACGACTTCTTGAGCTTCTTCAATGAAAAAATCTTAAAAATAAGAGGTAAAATTAGTAACCTCTTGCCTTCATCAGGTGTCTCTCTCTTAGATAACCCTGAAATTGTTGAGGAGCCCCTAAGGCCTCTGGTGCACCTTAGTAACTTTGCACCTATTGACCTTCCTGAGTTAAAGTCAGTGGTGCTGGCAGCCAAACCATCTACGTGTCTTTTGGACCCAATTCCATCTAAACTGCTGAAGGAAACTCTTCCTTTAATCAGTACTTCCTTGCTTAACTTGATCAATACATCTGTATTAACAGGATATGTTAATAAACGTCTCCTTAAAAAACCTTCTCTTGATTCAGGCACCCTAGCTAACTATAGACCAATATCCAACCTTCCTTTTATTTCTAAAGTCCTGGAGAAAGTTGTTGCAAATCAACTTTATGATTTTCAACAATGGTTTATTGGAGGATTTCCAGTCTGGATTTAGAACCCATCACAGCACGGAGGCTGCTCTGCTGAAGGTGACAAATGACCTACTCATGGCTTCGGACAGTGGTCTTCTCTCTGTTCTTGTCCTGTTGGATCTTAGTGCTGTGTAGTTCAAATATTTGAACTTTGGGAGCGACTCCGTGCCACAAGAGCCAATCAGGGCTCTGCTGACGTCAACAAACCGGCGAAGCAAGGAGGAGGAGAAGAAGAATCACAATGTAGGAGCAGCTTATCACTGCCGTGAGTTATCACCCGGTCCTGTACGGCATGAGGTGTGCATTCTACCGGGACCGCACCTCCAAGGAGAAGGCATGGGCGAAGGTGGCCCATGATGTCGGGCTTTCTGGTAAGTTTGTTTATTTATTTCAGTGAGCAGACTATTTTCTAAAAACATAGCAAACTTCCCCTGCTTGCTAGGCTACATTTTTAAACGTGTGTGTGTGTGTGTTTGCAGTGGATGTGTGCCACAAGCGCTGGAAGGGGCTGCGGGATGTATATATGAGGGAGAAAAGGAGGGAGAAGGAAGGTGGGAGAAGCGGGTCAGCGGCGACCAGCCGCTTCCTGCGACCTCCGTGACTGCAGCTTTGGACCCGGTGTGAACACACCAGGGTGCGACGCGACGTGAATACAATGACCAACGCGACTAGTTAGCTTCAGGTCGCGTTTGGTCTGTAGCGGCTTTAGAGTGATGCGGAAAAACTAGTCCATGCCTTCGTTACCTCTCGACTGGACTACTGTAATTCTCTCTTATCAGGCTGCTCCAGTAAGTCTTTAAGGACTCTTCAGCTGGTCCAAAATGCAGCAGCTCGGGTATTGACTAGAACCAGAAGAAGGGAGCACATCTCTCCTGTCTTAGCCTCTCTTCATTGGCTCCCTATTAAATCTAGAATTGAGTTTAAACTCCTCCTTGTGACATATAAAGCGCTTAATGGCCAGGCTCCATCATATCTCGACAAGCTTGTTATACTGTACTTTCCGTCTAGACCATTACGCTCACAGTCTGCAGGCCTGCTCGTTGTACCAAATGTCTCTAAAAGTAGTATTGGAGGAAGAGCTTTCAGCTACCAGGCACCTCTCCTCTGGAATCATTTACCGCTCAAGGTTCGGGGGGCAGACACCCTCTCAACTTTCAAGAGTAGACTTAAAACATTCCTCTTTGATAAAGCTTATAGTTGGGGCTGATTTGAACCAGCTCTTAGTTATGCTGCTATAGGTCTAGACTGCTGGGGTTATCTGGCACACTGAGCTAGAGTCTGTCTCTATCTCTTCTTTAGATCTTTATGTCCCATATAAGTCACTAACCAGATTTCTGTCTCTCTGAGTGTCTCTGAGTCTCTTAGCTTCCACTGGACTAATGCTGCAGACGGTCTGCTGCGGAACTGCCTGACCCCAGCTGCATCATCCCTGATTGTCCACCCTGGGCCCTGAGCTCCTCCATCTCTTAGGCTCCTCTGGACCGTTGTTGCAGACACCCCCTGCCCCTTGGTTGCTCCGGACTGATGGCTGCTGCAGACCTGCCTGACTCTAGCCGCATCGTCTATGATTGTCCGCCTCAGGCCCTGAGCTCCTTCTTCTCTTGGATTCCTCTGGACTGTTAGCCACATCATCTATGATTGTCCACCTCAGGCCCTGAGCTCCTTCTTCTCTTGGATTCCTCTGGACTGTTACTGCAGACATGAACATCAGCCTCACTGACATTAATAACATAAAACTAGAGTTGACTACTGTCTATGATTGTCCACCTCAGGCCCTGAGCTCCTTCTTCTCCTGGATTCCTCTGGACTGTTACTGCAGACATCAACATCAGCCTCACTGACATTAATAACATAAACTAGAGCTGACTACGATTAGGCCTGCTGACTGTAATCATATTTAATTAATTTAACATTGTCCATAATCACTCATATCCTAACCCTGTAAACTGTACTCATTTTGTTTCACCATTACATGAGCTGTTGTTGTTGTTGCTGTTGTTTCTGCTGTCCCCTGTCTCTCTCTCACCCTCGTTCTCTACTCTCTCTTCCCCCCCCCCCCCTGTCTCCTTACTCATTCTCTCTCTCCTTCCCCGTATCTTGTTCTCTCTCTCTCCCCCTGCCCTCTCCCCTCTTTGATTGATTGATTTGATAAAATGAACAGGAATCAAGGGTTAAATGACAGCATAGCAGAGTGATGAAAAACAAGAGCTGGTGAAAAACAAGCTTCTCTTTTAACCATATCCTCCTTCCCAACTCACTGTGTTCCCTTTTTACTGTTTTCTGTTTGATTGAGAGCCTTTTCCAGGTCGTCCATCTGCACGGCTAAAAAACTTGACTTGACGGAGACGTCTGCCAAGTCATGACTACGTCTCCAGATAATGTGTACATTCACCAAACCCCTCAGCTTCATTAATGATTAACCACAACACTGAGTTTATAAATAATCTCATCTGAATAAATTTGTATTTCACCTAACGCAGACAACACACACACGCACGCACGCACACAGTGTCGATTGCTCTACGACTGCAAGGACAGCTCAGCTTCCCCTAAAAAAAAAGGTTGTGAAATATGTACTGCTGTGTGTACATTTCATTGACTAAATATGCGCTAGAACGTGTTTATCTTTTGTTCAAAATCAGCTACTCATTACAGGTAACCAACACGACTTCTCATTCATCCCTGCAAGGCCACAGTGCTTTACCATAGACTGCATAAAGAATGGACAGAGTCTGCCTCCTCGCTGGGTGAAGCCACTCCCAGAACAGTGCACTCTGGTGACGGGCTGCAGTATAGGTCATTAATCCCACCTCCGCCAGCAAGGCTTATAGAGCTGTGGACAAACTTTAGAAATTTATTACACAGAACATTAATTTCCCCCCTGCTTGTGATGTTGACATGTAGTTACTGTCAGACTGGTTTGTGCTCAAGTCCTCTTTTTTTCTGTACAGCTCTGTTTTTAAAAGTTATTAGGGGGTTCATATTTTCTATGATTGAAACGTGATACAGCCTATGGGTGTTCAGGGATTATGTATCTCTCTCGGGGGATACGCTGTTTGAGCCGTGCGTCATCACAGCGACTCTCGGCGACTGCGTGCATCGCTACTGCACAGCGCTGGATCAGGAAATGAAGAAAAATCCTGGAAATACCGAGAGCTTTTTGGCTTCAAATCCATATACAGGCGGTAGGTGGAACCAAGTTGTCCATAGTACATTCAGTCTATGTGCTTTACACAGTTGGACGCTGAGGGTCTACTGACTTCAATGGGAAGTGTAGAGTGGGTTGTTCCACTGCGCGAAACTGGACGGTCATTGGATAAATGCTGGGCTTTGCCCCACCCATCGGAAGCTCAGTGTCTCTGGGGGTCTATGGGGCAGTGGGCTGGCCCGGACGCTCGGTTTCTGTATGATGATTGCATGATCTGTCTGAGACGGAATCCCTTTCTGATTGACAGCGAAATGACCGAATCAGCGATCTTACAATATAAACATCCACCAGAGCATTTTCCAAGTTCCAAGTTCATTTCATTGTTCTGAAATGATCCAGAGACTTTACCAATCCCCAACGACTTTGTCTTTGTTAAAAACAACTAGCATTGTGTTTGGTGACTCCCTTCTGTCACAACAGTGTCACAGATCAGTAATCAGTTGTGTGTTCGCATATGACAACCTGTAATTATAATTCTTGGCACGCACGCCCGGCGGTTCAGCACGTGTGCACCGCATATAGCGATACTGAGTCCGGGGTAGTGCATAATTTTTTTTTTTTTTCCGTAGTGTGGCGGCTTTATTTAGCCATGGTGATGTGCCATTACATGTTGGGGAAATGCTGAAGTTGATGTGGAATAGACCAGCGTGATTTGCCCACAGCTCCACCACCTGCTCCTCTTTCTGGACTGTCCACTTTCAATTTTTATCACCAGTAATTCTTCATACATTCTTGTTCTTCTTGTTTTCTTGTTGTAGTTATAGGAACACTAGTTTTCTTCATTACTGTGCAGATCCATTTTTTAAAGTTATTAGGGGTTCATGCATTCTATAACTGACACTTGATACAGCCTACAGGTGTACAAAGATTGTGTAGATCATCTGGAGGAGATGCTGTTTCAGCAGAGTGTCATCATATCTCTAGCCAAATGTGTTAAACGCTACTGCGCAAATACCAGTTTTAGGAAGTGGAGAAAATCCTGGGAATACTGAGAGCAATTTGGCTTCAAATTTGTTCAATGACAGGTAGGGTTGGGAATCGAGAATCGAGAATCGATGGGAATCGGGACTAAAACTTCGATTCTTCCGGTATCGTTCAAATATTAAAATTTTGATTCCAAGTTTCGATGCCAGAGTCCGCCGACCGGAAGAAATAGCCGCCGAAAATCAACGAAGAAGAAGCCGCTTAACACCAATGAGGACGGAGCGTATGAGACAAAGCCACACAGAGAGAGGAGAGAGACAGAGAGAGAAAGTACATTGCAACCCACAGCAATGCAGCCGCTGTGGGTTACAATGTAATCTCTCTCTGTCTCTCTCCTCTCTGTGTGGCTTCGTCTCATACGCTCCGTCCTCGTTGGTGTTCGGCAGCTTCTTCTTCGTTGGTCAAAAGTTTGGCTAACTTTCGCAGGAAGAATGAACTCTTATCTCAATGCAACATTAGCAATACAGTTATATCATGCAAAGGAGGGTAAACGACCAACATGATTAAACACCTCAGGATTCATGGAGGAGAAATACCCAAGTGCTCGTCTTTGATGCGCTTCGCCTGTGTTGTGCCAGAGAATGCACCCCTGACGGGAGCGCGGTTGAAAGTACACAACAAGGCAAAACAATCCAAGTTTTTCCTACCGTTGGACGGAATCTAAAGCGTGTGCCTTTAATGATTTCATTCAGGCTATTCAGATATGCCGAAAACAATAGCCCTCTGATTCGGAATATTTACTGTCCTGAAAATATTATGTTCTCTACATTAACAGCTTACTCTACAGTTTATATACCCAAGTACACTTCAATGTGTGCATTTTTGAGACACATAAAAACAAAACGAAAGTTTACTGCTGCATTTGACACGTTTTCATGATCTAATACCCGTGTTTTATTAAACATGAGATCATATTTCTTCCACTAAGAAGCTAATCAGTGGAGGGGAGGCATTCTAAGGCAGGGGTGCATTCTACAGCACAACACCTGTCTTCCGCTAACCAGTCAGGATCAGATAAGTGAAACAATAAATTACTTCTGTCCTCTGCTAATTTTGAAACGGTAAAGAAATTTAACTGTGTACGGTGAGTAAACCTCAATATCCACCTAACGTTAGCCCTTGTACTTTTTCATAGACAAACGACCTGAAAACAAAAATTGATATTTATATACTGGTTGAAAATAGCCCTGTGAGAAATCCATAGTAAAGTTCCTAAAAAGTTAATATGATTTAAAAATTCATGGAGAAGTTCAGAAATTTCATCCAAAAAGAGCCCCGGTTAGCACCCTCATTCAAACCATGCTTTTTTTTTCTTTTTTCTTTTTGATATCCTGCCTTTTAAAAGAATCGAATTAGAGAATCGATAGGAATCGGAATCGAAATGAGGAATCGAAATTGGAATTGGAATCGTTCAAAATCAAACGATACCCAACCCTAATGACAGGTGATGAAACGAAGTTGTCCATAGTTCATACAGTCTATGGTGACACCTTGCTTACTCTATAGCATTCAGCATACCAAGATGAACAATTTAAGAGGTGACAAACATCCTTTGTGGCCCTAATCCCAGGTATTATAACTTCAGACAGCAAAGAGCAGAGAGTTTAAGCCTCAGCTGGGTTTACTATGCTTCTGCTTTTTTGGTGGTGGGTGGTGCACTTTAGCTCACTTTCTTACCAGCTGTGAGGTGTTAGATACAAAGTTCCACAGGACGGTGTTGGTACTCAGGTCTCCACTGGGCACAGGAGTGTAAGATGCCCTCAGCACAACCATGTTACCTGTGATCACATCCATAGCAATCTGAGGCATCTGGATCTCAGCCCATATGCCTACAAAAAGGAAGAACAAAAGGAGGGGGGGCAATGGTTAACCTTCGTACTGATAAAGAGGAGCAGACAGTTGTTCATGAGTAGTTCTGCCAGAGGCCTCTACCCAACTTTTTCCAAGCGTTCACCATAATGTGTGCTGTCTTTAACTAACACAGAAAATACAGACAAACAACAGCTGTCACAGCATCAGATTTTCACCTAACCTTTACTGTTGCCATGAAATATCATAACAGTATTGTCACCATGTTGATGGAAAACTCTGAAATAAAACAACATAGTTAGTTGTTAGTTGTCAGGAAAAGGGGAGACAAGGTTGGAGGAACATGTTACTTCATAAACTTTACTAATTAATGGAATGAACTTCCATTGGTTCTGAAATTCAAATTCTTTATTGATCCACAGCTCCTGCCCTGTGACTACAACCTTTTTGGAAATGACTTATCAAAACACTGTCATGTATTGTAATGCCATACTTTAATTGTGCAGTATACTAGGTTGAAATTTACTGAACTGAATGAAAAAAGAAAGAACAAATGTTCAATAGCTTGGTCCAGAAGAGGCACATGCTCACATGTTGTTTTGGATACATAATTAATCCTGAACATCAGCTTTTGAAGTCCTGAATCATCTCTCAGACAGCTGCTACAGCTCTCTCTCTACGAGCAGCTGTTTCTTCTTGGTCCCTCCTTGGTTTTATGGCGTGTAGCAGCCAGTGTAAGAGACCACTGCTATGAACTCATTGTAGTACTGTATGCTGAGTTGTGGCACAATATCAGTTTGTAAAAAAAATGACAGTTCTCATACAGACACTTATTTGTGACAGTCCAAGTTTCAGACCATGGACTACAGAAAACAGGTACAGTGACACCACACACTGGATTCTGAAGCCTTCACCTGTCTTGCCAACAGCTAAAGTGTGCCTGCCCACCTGTCAGTCAAAGCTGCTATTTCTCTGATTGGCCAAACTTAATCTTCAAATCTGATGAGTTACAAAAAAATATTCATCCCCCATATAGAGAAATTGAGCCCAGCACAGTTCCCCCAATTTTTTAATGTTAAAACAATGGTTTTCCACATAATCTTTTTTTTTTGTATCAACTTACATTTTTGTCTTTTGTGTTGTATGAAATGTAGGCTTCAGCACATTAGGCTTTGGTGATTTTTTTTTTTCATGTTGGTGCTTTTTTGTTTTACATTAAATACTTGTGTATTTTTGAAAATATATGTTCATGTTTTATACGTGTTTTTTTTTTGTGTGTTTTCTTTTTGTGGTCTTGAAATGTTTGTGCTGTTGACCTTATGAGCCACCGGAGTGCCTTATGGCTGAATCATCAGTCAGTTAAAACAAATCAAATAATTCTTAAAGAGATCTGTAACTTAAAAATGGTTGTAGAAAAAGATGGTTGTGGTACTGATCTGGAAACAAACTATGGATCAGCTTCTCATCAACAGGATATAAGATAGTGCATATGTGCAGCCAGAGGGGGGCAGCAGAGAGCTGACTCACAGCTACTGCTATCAGAAAAGAAGCAAAGAAGCCCATTATGTATGCTTTTCAGCCTGGTAGTAAATAAGTGTATATGTGAGTCCCTTCTGAAAAACTGAATGTCTCTGCTCCTAGTGTGAGTCTACATGTGAGCCCACATGTTGGCTTGAGAGTGCTTGTTGACCTTCAGTGTATGACTCTGCTCTCTTCATGTTTACAGTAAACAATGGTTTGAGTGCCATTTGGTGAGAAATTATTTCACTTTGGATCTGATCCTGTCACTTTGAGTCAAGTGTTAACTTGCAAATTAATGTTTACAGTGGTCTTTGTTTAATCCTATTTCAATAAGCAAAGGCACCTTTTTACATCATTTAATTCATTTACTAATTGTCATTTCAGTACTGAACAATGGCTACAGCTGTAGCCTGAACATAAGTAGCTGTCAGTTAATATTCAATATTTGGCATTTGTTGTTTTTTGTTATGTATTCTTCTTAGGGTTCCGATTCCATACGTCAAAAGACAAACATTTCCTTTAACCCCTCTTATTTTTTCCCCAACACCATACCATGGAAAGTGGACGGTACATAATCACAAACCTAAAAAAAAAAAGTTAGATCTCATAATGACACCCCTGTAGAAATATCATTTTAAACTACAAAGTAAAACCAATTATGTCTACAAAGCAAACATGCAACAGGCTTCTCTCAGCATTTCTGACAGCAAAATGGTCATTGATTGAGAAGGCAGTCAAGGTTTTATCACCCTTCAGAGAGCTGAGGCGGGCTGTAAATGCAGAGACTGCACCTACCGGTGGTGTGATCACTGTTTTGTAACACTGTGGCTAAAATCAGCCACTAGGGGCAAAATGTAGCCACTAATTTCCACGTAACTTTTTTTTTTACTGCAGCAAATGGGATGATTTTTTGTGCAGATGCTTATATTGATGGACACTTTGAGAATATGATTTCCAAATTTTCACCAGGTCAAAAATACGCGCTGGGCAAATTTTCATCTGTTGTTAACACTCAGTGGCTAAAGAAAGCCACTAACTTTGACTGCTGTAAAAACATATTGGGTTAATATTTTTTTCCAATTTTTTCCATATATCTCTTAATTAGCTTCTGCTTCAAAACTAGTAAATGTTTCATCTTTTTTAACCCTTTGAGGGTCTATTCAAAACATAATGTCACTGATATGGTGAAAAAAGGAATCTAATAAAAATCAGTCATTTTCCTCCCATTTTTTTCCCAAGATTAGTGACTTTATATTTTAAATGGGTCCTTAAAGGGTTAAAATTTGGATTCTTAATGAAACATTTACTAGTTTTAAATAGAGAAGAAGTTTATTAAGAGATATATGAAAATTTTTTTTGAAAAAATATGAATCCAATATGTTTTTACAGCAGTCAATGTCAGTAGCTGTTTTTAGCCACTGAGCGTTAAGAAAGGATGTAAATCTAAGGGTTACACAAGGGTTAAAGGGTCTGAAACATCCTGTCTGTTCTGAGAGCAGATGAGCAGACTGCTGACCAAGTGATCAAGACGATAAAGAGCTTTTTTCTCAAGGCTGAGGATCGACACTCCTGCCAGACTGAGACAGATCCACTGCATCCAACTGTGACATTGGTAGATACCACACATAAAGAAAGTTAAGTCAGTTAAGACCAGTAGATAATGTATATTTTGGAATAGATAAGTCTGTTTTGCTTGATAATTTATCAAATCTAATAATTCAGAAACAAACAAAAAAACATAAAAATTGTGTCCAGCTGTGTTATCGAGGCCAGAGGCTTCCAGACTTGGATTACCAATGAACTGATATCTCATATGCATTTACACAACTTAAAACCTCTTCAAAACTTAATACTTAGAAAAACACAAAAACTGTTCAGGCTTTCTTTAAAATGTCACCTTAACTACTGAAAAGAACCATACAACACTGCTTCACATCACATCAAGAGCTTTGGTTTAATTTTGATGATAATACTCACCAAAGTAACTGTCATTTTTTTCACTTTTAGTTCAGTATTTTTAGACTTTGTCATGCAAATCTCCCTGCTCTCCTCTCTACTCCTCATCTTCCTGCTCTTCTCTCTCTTCCTCCTCTCTTTGCTCTTCACTCCCTCCTCCTCCTCTCCTTCCTCTATTTCTTCTCCTCCTCTCCCTACTCTTCCTGCTCTTATCCTCCCCTGCTCCTCTCCCTGCTTTCCTCTCTCATCCTCCTCTCCCTGCTTTCCTCTCTCCTCCTCCTCTTCCTGCTCTCCCTGCCCACCTTTCTCCTTTCTTTGCTCTTCTCTCTTCCGCTCCTCTCTCTACACTATTTTCTCCTCTTCCTCTCCCTGCTCTTATCCTCTCCTCCTCTCCCTGCTTTCCTCTCTCCTACTCTTCTCTCTGCTCTCCTCTCCTCTCCCTGTCCTCCTCTTCCTGCTCACCTTTCTCCTTCTCCTCTCTTTGCTCTTCTCTTTCCCCCTTCTCTCCCTACTCAATTTTCTCCCCCTTCCTCCCAACTCAATTTGTTCCTCTTCCTCTCCCTGCTCTTATCCTCTCCTCCTCCTCTCCCTGCTCTCCTCTGTTCTTTGTCTGTCCCTGCTCTCTTCTCTCCTACTCCTCTACCTGCTTTCCTCTCTTTTTCCTGCTCTGCCTGCTCTCCCCTCTCCTCATCCTCTTTGCTCTTCTCCCTTCTCCTCTCCCTTCTCTTTTCTCTCCTCCTCCTCTCCTTGCGCTTATCCTCCCATACTCCTGTCCCTGCTTTCATTGCTTTCCTCTCCCTGCTTCCCTGCTCTGCCTGCTCTCCCCTCTCTTCTTCCCCTCTTCGCCTGTCTCTCTTCTCCTCCTCCTCTCCCTACTCTTTTTTCCTCCTCTCCCTGCTCTGCCTGCTCTTCTCTCTTCCCCTCATCTCTTTGTGTTAGATGGCCAGTGGTCTCTCTGATTGTTATTATGACTATGTTTTATTTGCATTTTTATTGCTATAAGGGACTTTTTTTCTGTTGCACAACCATCAGAGATTCATAAATAAGTGCTGAGTTGTGGAAGAGGCACCAAGATGGCTTCAGATCTGAACTCAAGGACTTAGTATCGCCTGATACTTAATATAAAAAAAAAGAAGTCAGATTTGGATTGGGGACCAAAAATTCAACTTTCCGGGACATTCCTGTTTATTTATAACATGAGACGGGGATGATGACTCACAACAATCAGAGTGACCGTTTTTTCCCCTTAAACCTGATCTCCTTTCACTCCCAATCAGTCTCTCGTTATACAGCCTCCCTCTTTTCTTTTATCTTTCTCTTGATTTTGGTCGTCCAGCCTCTCCTTTAGACTGAATTTCTCTCTCTTCTTCCCTTTAACTATTTAAACATTGGGAAAAAAGTGCAGCAGGTCAATTTAAGTCAGTGTCAGCAGGCTGCCAGTGTTCACTTTTTGTGTGTGTTCATTTTTGTCAGAAAGCATGCAATGTAGAAATGTGGCAGGTGTGTGGAAGATTTGAAATTATTAATGGGATTTCAGTATGTGTTTGTGTGTGACTCAAACAAACTTCATGTGAGTGCTAATCTAAAATTCTAAGAATTTGCATGGGAAACCACTCCTGGTCCACCACTCTGCAAATCCACAGCAGAGATCTTACTCATGCGCTCACTCATACTGTATCTGATGACTTCTCTTATAGGAAAAACAAGACATATCTGCTAATTAACAGCCCTGTTTGGTGTCACAGTTGTCACCAACAAGAAAAGTGCTCCATGCACAGAAAGTGATGAAATCAAATGTAAGTGCACAGTCCAATCTGTGTGTGTTACAGAGTTTTCTGTCTGGACTAATTTAGTGAAACCTCTTTACTTCACTCCTGCTCCTCACTACAAAGGACAAACTTGGTGGTCTGATGTCCCTGACTTTTGGGTATTGAAGTCCTCAGAATTCAAACACATGCCTCAGGTTCGCCATCATTTTAAGGCCACCATCTTGAAAAGTCCGGTGGTTCTGATTCAAATTCACAATGTAAATGTGTTTTCAGACTGTTAACTCTGTAGCACTGAGGCAAAATATGAGGGGGTATTGGGGAAAACAATACACAACAAGACAGACAGCGATCAATAAATCCAGGCAGTTACTTCAAATATGACTAACACTGTTCTCACTGGTTTGTTTCTATTATTTAAAACTAACTTTGAAGTTAGGTGGCACTGTGCCAGTTCATTATCTCTTTAAAGACCCACCTCAATGAAAATCATGTTGTTGTTTTTTTTTTTTAAGTTCATATGGCATTTTTCTGATGCTACAAGACATTTAATCAGAAACTAACTGCAAAATTGCTTTTCTGACATTTCTTCATTGAAATCGCTGTGAATCTCTGGCAGACCCAAACGGCAGGTTCAGAAACAGTGAGATTTCATACATGACCAATCCAAGCTCTGCCCCTGGAGCCCCACTATGCAGGCCACACTCTGCATATAGAGGAGAAATACAGAGGACACCTCTTGGAACAAGCATGTATGTTAGTGGATTGTAATGCTTGTAAGAGAGCTAATTTTGATATTAACTTTCATCGTGTCACTAAAGACATTTGTGTCCGAGAGCTAAATAGCTCCTATGTTACCTGCCACTTCTACTACACCGGCAATGTTAAGCTACAAGCTAACGTGAAGACAAGTGTGCAGAGCAGCGCTGTCTCCGCCCATGACTCAGAGGCTAATTGCTAATGACCTACGGGAGCTCTACAGAAGAAAAGCCCTTAAAAAAAGACACAGGTAACGCAATTTTTGGTAAAGACTTCATAATCATAATTTGAAGACCACTGAGAACACTATTAGCAGCAAAAAAAAAGGTCCCATATTATACTCCTTTTCAGCAGGTTCGCATAGGTCTCAGAGCAGTCAATTTAAAGTTTGTTGTCTAAAAACCCAGTTTTTTCCTGGACTTCAGCCAGCCTGAAAACTCGTTCTAGTGAGCTGTACCAAGAACACGCTATTTCTGTGTGCTGCACCTATCCACGCCTCCTTCAGCACAAACCACGCCCCTCCCTGTGTCTCTGCAAGAGGGGGTTGTGGCTTGTGCTACAGTACCATGTGCTAATGTTTGCACAGTGCTCGGTGTGGCTCGTAGAAGCGCTGTGGTCCAGCCGTACCGGTTTGATCTAGAGTCTGACCCAGAAGGAGAGGCTTCTGAAGAAATTCCAGCTCTGTGTCTGCAGCAGGACATTTCTGAACAGTTAGTTACAAATATTATGTGTCTCCATATTTTTCTTTTTACTTTGTTTGTGTGTTGGTACACAGTGACTTACATGTAGCTAGGCAACATTAGCTCCTGCTAACGGTTACATTTCCACTGTCTTCTCCTTACTTGGAGCTCTTTTGGTGAATGTGCAGTCTTGTAAGTATAGTCGTTTCCCATGACTACGTTCTTGCAGTCTACGGAAACAGACTTCTGTGCTGCTTCGTGCAGCCAACAACAGAGCAACTGTCATGCCTTGCTCGTATTTTAAGGGGGCAGAACAAACATCTTGGGCAGGGTCACCAACCTGGAGGGGAGAAGTTATTGCCGTCCATGACATCATGGAAGGCGAGAGTTTCAATCAGACATTTTCTGAAAGTTGGAACAAGCAAGAGGAAGAGGATAGAATTTTCTCATTTCATCCCCAGCCTGGCTACAAACAGCATATTATTGTTAGAAAACCATCCTTAAGTGAATTTTGCATAATATGGGGCCTTTAAATATACATGGAAGCTTTTTGTTTTTACAAAATTAATATTATGCTGTGTTGGAGAGGGCTCAAAACCAGAGATTGGGACCAAAAACTTATCAGGAAGCTCTAAACTGTGAGAATAAACCAACAGTGAGGAACCAATTTCCTCATAGACTGCTGTTTAAGCAGCAGCTACCTGCAAATAAGATCGAAAATACAATAAGTCAAAGAGTAAAAAAGAGTTTTAAAAAGCCCCCCATGCTGTTCATCATACAGTGTGCTTTGTATTGAGCCAATACTCTTCAAAAAAGGAGCCAAGATGACGTGCCATGAAAAGTAACTCCGGAAATCAGTCAGTGTTGTGTCTATTTCTATTGTTCATGCAGCCACACTGGCACCAGCTTGTTAAACAGTGCAAGTTAGCAGTTGAAGCAGCATTTGACACACTAAATAAACATGTTTTCTTCAGAGTGCTCATACTCTGCCAATCTCTCCTTCTGAATAGATCTACAAAAAACCTAATTAGACTTTTATCACGTGTGAGCTGACCATGGCCTGTGTACATATCTTTCATTTATACATATCTATACATAATTCATGGTGCTATGTTTCCATTGTCAAAAGTTGGGAAAGGTACCAAACCAGCCAAACTGTACTGTCCTGATTCTCCTCTGTTGGTGTGCTAAGTATCCCAATCCCTTAACTGCAAAGGATAAGAAAGAGGAGAGGGACTTGTTTTGTAAAATATCAATTCATTGTGGCATTTATTGTGTGCATTTAACTGTTATAAGACTATTTTTGGTGTTGCAAAGCAGTCAGAGATTCATAAATAAGCGCGTCGTGGAACAGGCACAAAGATGGTTCCAATATGAAGGAGATCACAAAATACCCTGCTTTCCTGCAGCCAATGTGACTAATGACAACTTTTTTCAAACAAAAGTTGACCTCAAGTTCAAATAAGTATCAAAGAATAAAAGAACTGTGTAAAAACACAAAGATCTCGGACTGGATTTTGTTTAGAAAACATTCTGGGAGTACAACCACTATAGATAAGCTAGAGACAAACAGCAAAGCTGACAGACAGCAAATACAACCCTTAGTTCATAATTTCTTCTAAGCAATTTTGTCAGAAAATACAACAGCTCATGGAAAATATCGTACAAGATGTTTAGAAATTGAGAAATCCTAGAGCTGTTTGTTTGTAGCATCAGTTCTCCCATCTCACTGTGGAGAAAATATTCTCTAACTGTCTTTAAGGGCTCTATTTTCGTGCCTCGCCGGTGACACGGCGCATGCGCGGCGTAAGTGAGGTCCACCGCGCCGACAAGGCGTTCCCAAGCACAATTTGGTATTTTGGTGAGCGGTGCAGCCCGGCGTAAGTATCCCCCCTCCCTAACTCAGCTCCTCCCAGCAGCGTAAGTTGTAGCGAGGGAGGAGAGAGGGCGGTGAGTGGGTTTAACACAGCCGAGACCTGTTTTCACCAATCACATAAGCTCCTCTCCTTGCCTTTAAATCCGCCAACGGCGAGGTGTATTACTATTTTCATGAAGTAGTCAAGGAGATCAAGAGATGTCTGAAGACAGACAAAGGGCAGCTCCTCAACAAGTGTCACTGTAAGCGCGGGCGTCCTCCACACTCTCTCATGAGCACAGATGGATTTGGTGTGTGTAATGTTGGACCCACTGGTAAGACAAACACCCTTTTCCACAAATAAAGACACTCACATAAAGTTGCTCATATTCAAACCTCACGTGACAAAGGTGGGTTGAGCGCACAGATCACAACATAAACTCCAATAATGGCATTAAAATCGGAACCATCTGTGCGTAAATGACGCATCGCGCTCCGTGGCCTGGCTCTTTCTTTCATAGATGTTGGCATATAAAATAAATTTGGCTGACAAAACTGAATATTATAATATCCGTATGTCGGCTTAAAGTAGATAACGCATCTGAGCGCTGAAACAAATCATCTGTTCAGCCGCTGCTGAAGCAGGACAGAGCGAGGACACGGAGACGTGTCCAGGTTGAGCTGTGCGAGAAATAAGAGGAAGAGGAAGAAAGAAAAGGAGGGAG